TATATATATATATATATATATACATTTTTTTTTTGCAAAGTTCAATGAAACGAGATTTGTACTCTTAATGATGTAATATTACTTAGGACACCTTCGGATGACAAAGGTCATATGAGAAAAATGTTTCTATCTGAGTTCAACAATGATTCTTTAAATGTTCAATTTTTAAACGCTGCAGAATCCTCAAAAAGGTCATTTTATGCATTTTTATAGAGGAATTGAGGGAACATTTCAGCTCATATGGCGATATCGAGAGTATCAATGTCAAGACAGATCCCAACACAGGACGATCGAGAGGATTCGCCTTCATCGTCTTCGCTAAGGCTGAATCTCTCGACAAGGTAATTTTATCATTTATTTTCTATACACACGATCATTAGTTTCGTATAGCGACATATAATAGCATTGTTTATCTTACATTATGGTTTTGTATTATGATGATATCAATTAACCAGTTCTGCTACCGAATGCATATGACGACAAATTTTTTCCTGAGAGCGTTTTTAAGGATTTTTAACAAACAGTCATTATGTCGGAACGATACCTCTGGAAATGTGATTTTTCAGATTATGGCAGCTGGCGATCACGTGATTAATAACAAGAAAGTTGATCCTAAAAAGGCAAAAGCTCGACATGGTAAAATATTTGTTGGTGGACTTACGACAGAACTCTCAGACGACGACATCAAGAATTTCTTTTCACAATTTGGAACTGTAAGTTGTTTATTATCTTTGCTTGCGTGGATACTTTTCAACGAATATACGGATATGCATATATATAAGGAACTGAGAGAAAAAAATCTTCCAGATCGTTGAAGTGGAAATGCCGTTCGACAAAACTAAGAATCAGAGGAAAGCATTCTGTTTCATCACCTTTGAATCTGAACAAGTGGTCAATGAACTGTTGAAAACTTCGAAACAGACGATAAACGGTAAAGATGTAAGTACACGGACGAAACCGTGTTATACATTATTACATGAAAATTTGACACAACTTTTAGTATACTCTTCCACTGGTTGTTCCATAAACTCTTATATGTATTCATTGTTTAATCAACGAAAATTTTACGTTAATTGATATTTATTTTTGGTTGTCGATAAGAAGGCTGATTGAGAAGAGATGAAAGAGAGACTGTAAATTTATTCCTCAGTTTAGCTTCGAACAACAGCACACATGTAAAACGTACGCAATGTTAAATAGGTTGACGTGAAGAAGGCAACACCCAAGCCCGACGGTGTAGGTGGCATGCGTGGTGGACCGGGCGGTCGTGGCGGTCGTGGCGGCAGAGGCGGCCGAGGTCGCGGATTCGGTGGTCAAGGTGGATGGGGACAGGGTGGTTATGGCGGTGGGTACGGCGGCGGATACGGTCAAGGTGGATACGGTGGCGGTTACGATGGATACGGCGGCTACGACTATTATGGTGGTGGTGGGTACGGAGGCTACGGCGGCTACGACTATAGTGGATATGGTAATTTCATCAATTATCACTAGGTATATGTGTGTGTGTGTGTGCGCGCGCAATGGCGGATTCTCGTCTGTGCGATTATACGGTCGGAAATCTTTTTATCGTCTTCAAGAAAGATGAATGTAATAATTTGAATAATTTGTTGGCATTCCAGAGTGTTTGACCGATACGATAAAGAGAAATTTTCATTCTGTCTGAAAATTTCGCGCTAATACATTACGTTAACCACAGAGAGAGAGATTATCAAGAATACTAAAGCGGAATTGTTGTACACAGGCGGCACTCTATGACGTATACCGAACATATTGAATCCCTCATTGATCCTGCTTTCGATCCCATTTCTCTGGTCACGCATGACGTTTCACGTTTCTTTCACACATCACAACGATCACTTCATCCGCGATGAAACGATTTTGCTGTAATAAAATAATTTTGTTTCGATATGCGTAGAACCTATTTCTTTCTTTTTTATTTTACACAAGTAAACGAATGATTCCTGTCGAGAGAGATATATATATATATATATATATATCGAGAATTGATTTTTATTCCTTCTTTATACCGTGTGTTACATGAAACGCAGATGGATATGGCTATGGCGGTAGTTACGATGGTGGCTACAGTGGTGGGCGCGGAGGCGCACGTGGTAAAGGTACGCATTTTAGCGTCCTTTCTTTATTATATCTTACAATTGTCGTTATTTATTTATAATATGTACACTATGCTACATTTTAGCGATCATATGTTCAAACGTGTTTGCTCGTACGCATTTTCTCTATGTTAACTACATTCATCCGTTCATTACTTCTTTGTGATACGCAAAATTTTACTTGTCCTCTCTCTCTCTCTCTCTCTCTCTCTCTCTCTCTCTCTCTCACTCTCTCGTATCCCTATCTTTCTATTCCTCACACCTTTTTTCTTTACCCATCGTATTACTTCTTCCACGTGGTTATATTGACATGTACGTGTGTAATAAAATTATTAAACGTTTAGATAGAGAACAGCCTGACACAATCGTTTATTCTTTGTAATACTATTTTTTATATTTCAACCATCGATGATTCCGGAAATGTATATAAAAAATACGTAAAGTATGAATAGTAACAGAACATATAAAAAGCCTTCAACCTTCTATCTTAGTTTGAAACCTCTACGTAGATACTTCGTACTTTGTTCTCCATTTTTAGGCTGCTAATTATTTCTCAACTTTATTATTCTCTAGATGAATGCCTGCGTATGTGTACGATCCGACATTTTTTTTCGCAGTTTATACGTTTTCTTTAATTTCTCGTGAAGATAAAACGGCACGCAGCTTAAGATATGAGCGACGGTAAAAGACGTCAGACTCACTATATGGGTATATTTTCAGGAGGTTCGGGATACGGTGGCAAGCAGAGAGGAAGTGGTCGTCAGAACCAGAGGCATCAACCCTATTAATAGAAATTCTCACTTGCGATCGTAACGCGCAATTCGCGTTGTAACCGCCGGTGAGTCATTTTCCTAACGCTTCTCCTTTCCCGCATAAATGTTGAATTATTTCGAGAAATGTATTTAAATGGCAAATATGTGACGTTTATTTATATGATCATCTCACTTTGTTATTCCCCTTAACAATCAGTGCCGTATGTGATGCATGTTCTTGAGTCGATAGTTATTCGAGTTTTATTTTCACGCGTTTAAGACGCCGATTACAACGGGATGTAGGATAATTCGTAACATTAAAAACTTCTTTTCTTTCCAGGTTTCGCGTTCTATAAGAAATTTCATATGTCGTTCGATCATCATTCCACTAGATCACGTGTCTCTTGACAAAAATTTAAACAACGCAGATAACTGCCGCAAAGTCAATCTTCAAGATTCACTTCAAAAGATACAGCAATAGATTGTCGTTTTGTGTTTAGTTGTGTGTTTTGTGTGTATCATGTATACATACACGTACACACACACACTCACATACACTCACACACATACACATACGTTTGCTCTTCGATCGGATTCATATGCAAGCGCGTACCGCTTATCACGAACACGTATATTAATAGATTATTTTAATTCCGTCTCTATATATATATATATATATATAAAATTATACATGTAACGACGAAGAAAAGTCCATCCTGGACGCATCGAGCAGTCGGCAGTCTGCTTTTCACACGTCATGCAAAACTTATCTCTTCTCGCTATTTTCGCACGACATGTGTAAGGTATCTCGTCTGTTGATTCGTCCGAGGTAGGTTTCCTTATCGAGCGTGTGTGCGTATGTATGATGTATGTATGTGCGTGCGTGCGTGTACGTGTGCGTGTGTCTCTCTCTGTTGAGACAGTACCACTTTCGAATGGTGTAAAAATGACTTAGGTTTGTAACGTGTGTGCTGCGACGAATTTTTCGCTCGATGTAAGAACAGCGCATGTACATTATATTTATATACTGACAGTTTCATTCTAAGTAATGAGGATTAAGATTGTCTCAATATGTCGCAATAAGACTTTTAAAGTACAATCCGGCATTGTATTTTCCTCTGAGTGCATACTGTTCTGATACTGTATCACAGAAAGTATTAAATTCTCAACAGATATAGAAAGTTTTACGTTGATAGAACTTTATTTAAAATAAATCAAGATTATACGTAAGAGTTAGCGATACATGGTTTCTGGTATTATTTACCTTCGGTAATCACGCTATCTTTTTTTTTTCTTTTATCGACGCTGACGATATTACCGACTGTTTGATCGTTTAGTTTGTCACATTACCGAGGAGCGACAATGACATGCTTGATCGGCGATAGTACGCGATTCTTCAAAAAGTCCAAGTGATTCTTGTCGTTGTGTTTATCCTTTGAGGGTAAGTTGTATCCGTTTCTTTACATACACTTTTCCTCTTTGGATAAGTTTTCTACAGTTTTAAATGCGCGAGGCGAGCGTCTGGTTATAATATGGAGTTTTAATATAAACTGATTGAGAAATGTCTATTGAAAAGTGCCTCTAAGGTTTTTTTCCCGGTTGACGTGATCTACTTGACGTTCGTGAAGCAAAGGAATAAAGAGGACAATTTTCGTAAATTTAGATATATAATACCTGTGAGAAAAGTTTCACGCGAGGTACTAGCAACTTTTACGGCAGTTGGAATTAAGTCTGTTAATGGTGTTAAGTCTGGTGTACAAAGCTCGCAAACGTAGACACGAGATCAACACTTTGCATTTGCTGATCGTCATCTGCGAAGCTGTGTAGACCGGGCTTAAGGAGGAATGGAAAATGTAGATAAACGTTGTTGTTGCAATCTATTTTTGAGAAAAAGCCGACAAAAGCATGTTAATTCTTTCGCCATATCAGACACCATTTTTGATAATATATTGTACACGAAAAATAGCTTCTTCTTGCTGCAACATGCGATGGATGTATTGCTCGCGAAAATTTCGGTAAAATTCACGATACCAGGCAGGATCGACGGAAAGAATTTGATCGGTCGATTTTTCGCGACAGTCAAATGTCCGCGCGATCAAATTTGCAAATAAGCAGCGACTGCTTCGTGTTTACATTTCGTTAGTTTAATCGATCGAATTGCATGGTACTGCATTCGTCTCTAGCTGGACATTCGTGCACGGGTTTTCGTGGTCCTTGGTTCTCGCCTCCCGCGAGCGTTTCACGGGTAAACTACAGGATGCAGGTCGGACGAATTTCGAATCCACCTGAGTCCAGAAACGGAAGACTTTGGCAGAATCATCGAATTTAGCTTATCCTGAGATGCATAATGTTTAATTTCGAAAATTAACGTACGACGACAATTATCAGAGAATAGATATCACATAATTTGAAACTTGTTGTCGCTAAGTGCGGACGAAAACATTTCTTCCCGTAATATACGAGTTTACACTAGGGTCAGTTTGAAATTATTATGTAAGGCACTTTCCGCGATATATAGCTTCTCCGCCTCCGTAATTCCAACTGCCATAAAAGTTGCTAGTACCTCGCATGAAACTCACAGGGAGTGTGCAGCTTTAGCTTTCGCTTTTATCGAAAGTCTTTACGCTCGACACCGGCTGTTTGTTGCCTTCGACGAACGTTGGTAGTTTACGTTTAATTTTAACAGGAATGCTTCGGATTATCGCGCTGTTGCAACTTGGGTCGCGAATAATATGATGCACACACCGATCTCACTCCGAGAGAGAGAGAGAGAGACATTGCAACGCGCGCGCTTCGTTCCATTTGTCATTATAGAGTACACGACCTACCTCATGCTGGTGGTCCTGGTCTGGCTGATGCTAGGATGCCTTACGACGGATGCTCGATAGCCTCTTCTAGGGCAGCAAATCCACCATTTACCGCAAGCGGCCGACAGGAAGTTCTTTCTAAAGTGCTTCGACATAAACCCGTACACTATCGGATTTATGCAGCTGCAACGTGTGACCGGATTAAAGGCGTTGGTCTTTATTGTGGCGTATTTATTAAATGCGACTCGTCACCGATAATCCTTCCAATGACTTGTTGGTTAGTTTGACGGCCGTACCTGTTAAAGTAGGCCATCAGTTGAAACGCAGTGTGTAGGTGTTTCTGTATCCCGATCTTGATGCGAGGAAGGTAACCGTAAGCGGTTAGCACATTGTCGATGAGGATCGGGCCCCAGCATAGTACAAATAGGAGTACAACGGCCACCAGCATCTTCACCACCTGGATATTTTTCTCGATAGTCGACACACAACAATTCGAAGGAAAGAAAATTAATCACTTTGCTCGCTACCTGTTTCATGGTCCGCGATTCCTCGTCGCCGTGACGTATCCGCCGTTCGTTTCTCGCGACGCTCTGCCGCTTCGTCGTCATCGGTATGGATTCCATGTTGTTCGGATGTAATCTAAAATATAGAACTGTGATCGAATTGCGCCCAACGAATTGCTTATTCGCGAGCGAGAGTCCGTTTCGTCTCGCAAGATTATAAGCTTCTATCCTGTTTAGAGCGTGCATGCATTTTCTCCGACGAGTGTTTCATCTTATTTCACTCTCTTTTCAGAGTGTAATCGCGGACAAATGACTTGTTCAATTATCACCGAAGCAACAATTCCTCGAGAGTTGTTTCGAAATAGTTTCGGAACGGCGAGAAGTCTGCAATCGTTGAAAATGCACTATTATTATAAATTGCATTTACTATGTCTGCCCGATCGACCTATTTCGAGCAAACTGCCTGCGAACCCATCTACCGACGATGTACGACACTCCATTACTGATCTGTCTGTATTTGAAAACCGATTATCACGCACGCGTGATGATAACGAGCAAATTATTTTTGATAACTCCCACGCACAAAATTCAGTCGCGATGAAATCTCACGATCGCGTTCCGATAATCTTGATGGGACCCTCATAAAATGTGCAAATAGAAACTCTCTCTCTCTCTCTCCTATTATTGCACTATCGATCCGAGTTTTCACCGTACTCAGAGTTCCGAAAATTCAACGAGTTGAAATTTGTATTAAATTGTCGACGCATCGGGGGATGTCCATCAAATGCTGAAAAATCCTCTCTTCCGTTCACCTGCCGCACGATTGATGTCCATCGCAATTCGTGCGATCACGGGAGAAACACACACGCTCTTCTTTCGATCGCTTCATGCCGCTTTAATCGCCATTGACGGACACAACGCTATATTATTCGTCTTAAATTGACGAAATATTTGCACGAATTTCATTTCCATAAGACTTACGCGTGTCGTGACGTCAAATGATAACGGCGTTTCATAACGCGCCAGATCTCCCAACAAATGGTCGTGTAGCAGAATGCCATAATGGCCAGCGGCAGGACGAGAACCAAAAGAAGCATGTAGACCTCGTGAATTTGCCACAGGAGTCCAGCTTCGGAATCACGAACGCACCAGTATGCGATGAATCTCAGTCCTACTTGCCTATGCATCTGAGAAGAAGTTTGGGCAAAGAATATTGTGGACTTCTTCTCGCTATGCTCGAATGTATGAGGATCGTGTTTGAGTGAGTGACGAACAAACGAACGAAATATTTCAAATGACGAATCGTCTCGAGTTGTGCGATAATTGATAAACAACGTCTCTAAATACATACCTGTGTAAATACTATTGGAATTCCCAATAGAAACGCCGCGATCCAAGTTATAATCACGATTTTGCGAGCTTGGCTTATCGTGCACGTATATTGCGCTCTCATTGGGTGTACTATCGCATAATACCTGAAACATTCCCGATTTCGAGAGACAAAACTTACTTTGAACTCTACAGTGTTTGATCATAAATATGTACAATTGACAATGAAATTGGAAACGTTATCGAATTCTGTCGATCCTTTCGGGAATAGGATGTCACGAACATTGTTGTCCCGAGGAGGTCGTGCAACGAAAAACTGATCTTCATTCAATTCTTCTTAAAGAGTATTCAAGTGGAAATTAGAGAAAGGTAAGCGAGAGGAAGGGGGGATTCGATGTGCTTTATAACGTTTAACAGCCGAGAAGAAATAAATCTTTCGCGAACCCTTCTCTCCCCTTCTCCCTTGGTTTTTCGTTTCGCTGAACAAAGCATGCACTCGGTGTTATGAGTTCGAGATAATCGATTATCTATTTATGCCAACTGCTATACGATGCTTTTTACTCAGGGTGGTGCTTGCGTCGTTCTTCGCGATTCCTCTCATTGATTATCGCCTATTTGTTGTTCGCAATTTACATAACAGATTACAATAACACTTCGCTTTGCCAACTTGCATAATCGATCGATGATTTTCGCGCGCGGTAAGAGCAGTAATCTTACCTTTCGATCGACATTGCGGTAAGAGTGACGACCGAGCAGATAGCCGACACGCTCTGCATGTAATGCACCGCTTTGCATAGGAAAACACCCATAGTCCACGTGTAAGAGAACAATTTCGCTACCTGTAACAAGTCAATTATGGTGCATGAATGTACGTAACGAAGAACATGTGGTCCCCATCCACATGTTATAAATGTCCTTGGTACGAACGACGCGTGTCATAACTTATGTCGCGTGACGACTGGAAAATTGGAATGCTATCGAATTTTCTGCGCGAAAATAATAGATAGTTTAACTTCATTAAATCCGCTTTTCTCTCGATTTTATTCATTTAATAACAATATTATTTCAAATTCAACAGTACACAACAGTAGAACGGTAGTACTGCAAAAGAAAGAGAAGGAAGAATATATCGATGAAAAAGTGTCTGTCTCGTTAGCTGCGAAAATGACTTCTTCTTGGCAGAAGCACGGATCAATTTATACGCACGGCTGTATGACACAATTTGTTTTTACGGTGAGCGAATTAAGGCGTGTAGGAGTGCTTTCGCCGTGTATCTTATCGCGATGCTGGATAATGCAGCACGCCTGACCCAGATTATTGTTGATTCATTCGCGACGTATTTTGATTTATGCATGAAAATGGACGTACGAGTTATATAATATTCGCGAACAGCGTTCGTCCTCGTTGCGCCACCGGTATGAAATTCGAGACATTTCAAACACAATCGAATGAAAAAAGATATTATTCGAAAAAAATAAGACTTCCGAAACAATCATATTTTTTGAGAGAAGAATATACTTTCTGTATCTAGTCTGTACGATCTTTTCAATATCGAATAATTTTCTTTACTCTCGCGCAATTATGCGAGAGATTTAATTTTTCGATCAAGTTCTTTTCTTTTTTTTCCAATCGCTATTTCTCGATAGCGAAACAAATACTTCCCTTTCATCTTGCCTTTTATTACTTTACTTGCTTGTTTGAAAGGAAACTTCCGGGGCACTGTGTGTATAACCGATGCTCGGAGCGTTAATAAAAAGCATTAATCATGTAAGTGATTTATGACTCCAATAAATGACAAAACAGCTCGCTTCGTAAAGTTGATAGTAAACCCGATCGACTTTATCCTTGCGATCACGCGTCGAACATTTATTATTTACCACGCACCGCGAGCGTTTTACGAGCTCGTAAAGCCGCGGTTTTGAGCGAATAAAATGATCAAATTGCCTCAACCGACCTGTCGTGGTCCTAACGCGCCAGAGAGGAGTGTTCGCCCACCATGTCTTATTAAGTTTTAAGGGATGTAACGCTCGTACAGTCTCTACTGTTGCCCGCGGCTGGAATCGTGAGCGAAGGTAGGATATACTGCGGTAATTTGCACAGTTAAAAACTACGATACTTCTCACCCCGAAGAAACGCACAGCGGAAAATGTTGCTTGGTTAATGAAATCTGGAAAATGCGCAAAAATCATAATTTCAATCAACCGAATTGCAACGACAGGACTATAATTTATTGTCGCGCGCTGCATCATTCGTACAATGCACTCTCGACTCGTTACTTGACTCGTCGTCATACACGTGAGATGAGCCGCCTCATACTCTTTTTTGCGTTCTCGCGACACAATATAGCGGACATTACACTGAGCTACACTGTACTTTCTGATTCTTTTCGCTTTCGATTGTAACGATAACTGTGCGTCAAAGTTTCGTTAAATCAAACTCACTCGCCGTGTTTCGCCAAGTAAGGCACTCTCGCTAGTTTTCAGCTTATGTGATCATCCCCTTTACTATCGTCCGGGGAAATATATCTCCCATGTATGTTTTTTATGTAAATACGTGATGGATAGTATTTTCCTTGATTCATCAGGCAACTGCAGGAGCTGCCATTGATAAAATATGTAGTAGTGCTGTAGTACGATCAGACATAAAATGTTTTTCTTATAATAGATAATCCCGAGTTTTTAGTTTTTAGTTTCAAAGTTAATTCTCAACAGCGAGTTTTTCATTTTTATTTCGACGACGAAAAAATGTCAGATAACAAACACGCACACATATTAGACGATTAGAATAGATCGTTGCGACAAAAAGCGCTCGACACACTCATTGCGCGTATATATCTTAAGAAAAGGTGTTATCGTCGTACAGACGTGCAACAGGTGCCCGTATTCATTCACTAGTAAGAACGTACGAAGCAAAATCTCGAATGGTTGTCGTTCATTTACACGCTAGCAAAGGGCACTGCACATAAATTGTCGTTACGAGATATACGTCATGGGATCGACTATTGCGGCGCAACGTGATACCTGTCACACACGCGGGATACGTGTGCCAAGTTAGAAGTCGATGCGTTTCGCAATTCTGCGCGTATGTTTATTTTGCATCGTAAACAAGTAGTTTTGGAGTCCGAAATAGCTACCAGATGGATCAAGCGAATAATTTCCGAACGGATCTATAAGTTACCTTCATCCGTAAAGCAAAGAACCGTAATAGTTTAGGAATAATTTCCATTACGTTTGTAATTATTTTTTCTAGAAAATCTATCACACAAATTAATCACCGATAATCACAGACAGATACGTGCGAGAGAGAAAGAGAGAGAGAGAGAGAGAGAGAGAGAGAGAGAGAGAGATAAAGTCTCTCGATACTCTTCGAACTGTTTTTCAGCAAAAGAAATTCAACTAACTTTGCAACTTTCATCGAAAATCATTCATGAATTACAAGCGGATTATTTAATTGAAAACATGGAGTGAGAATCGCCTCGACAGGATCCGTTTCTAATTGAACGATTGCCGTGTTAGTTTCGGCTTTGTATCGCGCATAGTAAAGACTGTCGTTGAAGGAGCGATTTGTCAGAATTATTTCTGGGTTGCGGCTATTCTGTTGCTTCCGCTATTATAGCGGGATGCAACACGGGATGCCTTCTATTTGAATGAAATCGTAAAATCAATTTGAAAAGATTGAAACGATATGTGCGCGCAATGCCGGCACGCGCTTTTTATAACTCGTATAATCGAAATTAATTTTGAATTCAATTCTAGTATCATATTTTCTCTGCATAACACGAATATTTCATATTCAAGCTCGATATATTGCCTCTAATAAAACATCCGATCGATTTATCGTTACTAACGTGGCGACAGAAATAGCGCCGATTTTATCGGCGCGAGCGCACACAGATATTGGCACACGTATCGAGATATTTGTTGCATTTCTTGGACCTTGTCTGCAAAATAAAGAAAAAAATGTATATGCGCGCGTGTACATCGTCGACTGTTACGAAACAGTAATCGAAATTGACAGACCGATATCCTCGGTAATATGACATATGTTAATTATGTTACGAACAGTCGGTATCGATATTTCAATCAGTTGGTCAAAGATATTGCCGAAGCGTGTACCATAGTCTGCGGATGTTAAATAAACCCAACGAAACGTTGTAATCTCATGTTCTATCCAACGCACTTGATATCGATTTTCCAAGGTATCTGATTTTCGTGCTCCGCTCGAATGTACAGGTGCGACATGGCGAACCGGAGTTGCTAATTCTATTAAAATCCGATCAAATTTGCTAATCGTAAAATCAATTCGGGGATTCACGGTCGACAAGACGTTATGTAATGTTTTCTTCCTTTACTCGCGCAGAAAAGAAATACGTGTGATTTTTCACGCGTGATTCAACGTGCATATGTAGAACGTATAGCGTAGTTAAAGAAATAATAATCCGTTTCGAAAATGAATTGCAGTAATCGGTATAGGCGGCGTCTCACTAAACTTTCAACAATCAAGTGATTAAAACAAGCGATTTTCGTTAATAATTTCAAATCGATTAGCAAGGCAAACACAATAAGGAATATGCAACAAAGTTTTGGGATATCCGCAAAATAATTTCTGGTTGATGGAAAGTTTGAATGGAAAGATTGTACAAAGAAGTGATCTTGTGCGCAATAATGAAAGACGTAACTCGTGAAACACCGAGCGTATGCTCTGTCAAAGGTATCGAGGTTAAATATGAGCAATCATCCAATCAAACGAAATGCGTTAAGAATCGTGTTCCGTTAGTGTTCCGATTAAGTACTCGACATCATCAATCGTCGCGGAGAATTCAAATAGACTGGATGTTGGTGTAAACAATAATAGCTCTAATTAAAAAATGGTAACTTCTTACGAGATGATAATCATAAATTTGAATGAATCGCCGTATTGCATGTGTACGAGAGGAAGGCTCAACATTTATCATTTTTACAAATTGACTTTTGGTGAGAGAAGTCGCTGCTATAAAATACAAAGATTGAACATGTAACGCGAGGGTTGCAAAGAGAATGAGTTTCGTATTTCTAACGCTACTGGAGATGAATGAGTGAAAGAGAGAGAGAGAGAGAGAGAGAGAGAGAGCGAATCATTTCATCCAATGTTAATTAACTCGGGTTGTCAGTGCAGCTCAGGTTAAAGGTTAAAATTGTGAACGAAGCAACGCGTTTCCTAGTTTCGTAATAAGCCTTCGAACGACTGTGCCATTTGTTTTCGTTTTTCGTTGATTGCGGAGACGATTGCCGTAGACGTTTGTTTGCGTCTCATCAGAAATTCGTTTGCGACTCGTTCACAAATGACAAATGGTTAACGTTCAAACGATAAAGTCTGACAAATTTGTCTTTCTGCACTTTCAGGGACACAACAGGGCTTCCTTATTGTTACGAGCTCTCTCTCTCTCTCTCTCTCTTTCTCTTTCTTTTTCGTGAGTTATTCGTTCTCAGTCATTAGTTACACGTGAAAAAAAGTTATACAATAAAATCAATCTTCCTTGTTGCACCTTGTCTCACATGTACGCATAGATTACATTGTCGGAAACGGTTACGAAACTGCATAGCTTATTAATTGAAATTTGATCATTGAACCTATGATAAGTGAGATAGGCGCGCATCAAAGACAGAAAGCTTATAAAGAGTAAATTTGAAAATGTCGAGAGCAAGGAGGAAGATAAAAACAAATAGTGGCAATGCGTTGAAAGCATGGCGTACGCGTCAACCAAGCTGCTGCTCAAGTGGCCACTGTAATTTTAGAAGCTGGCGCTATTCGATTTTATTTTCATTTGGACGATGCTTATTCGTAGCGACAAAATGTCGTTAGCCGAGAAGATTCCGTAAATATACGCGATTGTAATTGATGTCTCAGATACGCGCGCGTATCGATAATGCGTCTAATTATTAGTGCTATGTTTATCTATGTTATTTTATCATATCCTGTTTTAAAACTAAATAAATCAGACGGACCAAACGGTTCAGTCCAATATAATATGCTTTCGTCGTGTATCTAACGCAAGGCACCGCGAACAATTTGTTATTGCTGACGCGCAGGAAGATGTAATAACCCCTGGTCTGTTTAATTAATTTTATCGAAATGTGTAATTACCAAGGCCCGGGTGAACACCCGAATAACCGGGAAGATCGCTGCCGAGAGAAAGAAAAAAATCGGTCGGAAGAGCTTCCAAAAAATAGCGAATAATTTCTAAGAAGGCGGGAGCACTTGGCTGCATGTGGAGCTCATTTTTTTAGTGGTTGTTGTCGCGTGTTCAATACTTTCGAATAGAGTTAGCAAATGAGATAGGGAGGCTTGAGAATTAATTAGGATTTCTCCGTCGCGTAGGTATTATCGTTCTTCCGATTCGCCAGTAACGTGAATTTCAAAGCTCTCGATCAAACTCCTTGTGTGAAAATCGGATCTCATCAGTTGTGTGAACGCTGCCGAGGCGACTACTTTACCGAGTAAACGCCATTTCTTGTATTATTAATTTCGCACATTATTCTATCGATTCGCTACAAACGATGTAAATAATCGTATAGTTTTCCGTGAGAACAGAGAACATTGGATTTTCATCCACCAATTCAGTGGGTGCAGAAATTCCGACTATTCGTTCTCGCAGCAGGAAGACGGCGATTCTTTGTACGGTCGATCGGCCGATCGCAATGCAGAAGAATAAAGTCGAGACGAAAAAGACACGTATGCTGAATAATTGATAGTTATATGCCTAGTGGCGTCGAGTTTGCAAAACGAGTGTAGAGGGCAAATCATAGACAATTGGTTATTACAGATGTAGCATTCTTTACCTTCACGGGTATACAGAATATAATTAGCAGGAGATCGGCCGTGGCCAGGCCCCCCAAGAAGATATTCGTCGGTGTCGCCGGTAGCGGTCTGAGCCGTGGGCAAATAGTCGAGGTGATCATAACGACATTCCCTGAAAGAAATTACGATTCTCTCGCAAGATTGCTGAGCATCCGAGCTACCAAATTATACGGAGGCTTTCTCTTCAGGCTATCTGAGAAACGCGACAAGCTTAGAAGTGCTTGTGATAAGGAGTAGCTCATCGCTCCTATTCCAACTTACCGATTAATCCGAGGACAAAAGTTAAGCCGTAAACGACGAGCACGGGTGCCAGTTCCGCCCAATTGAATATACTGAAGGATTCGTTGATATCGTAATCATAATCATACGTTGCGTTGCTATCGTTGGACATAACGTTCTCTTCGATGGTCGACATTTCGTTATCGCGTTTTACGCACGATACCACCGTGTGTTCGTTCTGATACGAAGGAAATTCCCTCCCCTCTTTCTTGTATCGCTCATTTTACTGGAAAGAAATAAAGCTTTGCAGAAATATATATTTATTTATCTTTGTCGAATTAAATGTGTCAGATGTATTAAACGTGTCCAATTTGTCCAATATCTCCTTTACAGCCGAGTTATTCGATCGTGCGCCCAGCCACGAGATAATATATTTAATAGAAACGCTTGTTACTCTCAAATGACGTACGTTTGCTGTGTAATTGACAAATATCAGCATTTATTAATTCATCTGTATAAATCCTGCATCTAGTACTCTCTGGTGTGTAAAACGCATCATAAGAATCTGAATGAAAAGACTGTTAAAATAACAGTCGATCGGGTAAAGGAATTTGAGGCGGAAGAATACTTTCAAATTATTATGACAATATAGTGTCGCCATTTTTTAATTTACCGCTCTACACCTTTTCGGGAGACAGCTGGTATATCCAAGGAGAAGCGGGAATTCCATTTTCGGCGAAGAAAATCAAATTGTCAAATGCACGGGTCGCAAATGCAGTCGTCTTCATGATGCATTTCTAAAGCAAAGTATACGGAAGAAGGGAATAGAAGAAAAACTATTATTAGACATTATAACGTGAACGTAGAATCTTGGTGAGTTATCTCGCAGTCGTGTTACGTTTAACAACTGATGATACGAAGAGAATGAAGGAAGAAATGAACGTATGATCACCTTGTTCTTTGCACAACAGTTTATACAATATAATTCGCTATAATTGCAACAATAATTTCATCAGTTTTCAGTCATAAGATCTGTACTTTGTACTCGAAATAAAAAAAAAAAACCTAATAAATCGTTTAATTTTTCTTCTTTGAAAATGCTCAACTTTGATGTGAAGTGTGTGCGCGCGCGAAGAAGATAGAGAATTTTCGTACTTATGCTATATTTTCAACAAGATCAACGTTACATACGTATTAGATACGATATTTCTGGAGAAAGCATCGATTCTAACTTTCGCTTTTAACATTTCAATGTCCCAACAATTTGCATTCCAGGTATTTCGCTCTACGTAGAGTCACGATGCAATTTATTTTCAATATTGTAAACGAATATTGAAGAACTCAGTTGCCATCCTTTCCTTTAATACTGTCTTGACTTTCCGCTGGTTTTTTCAAAATTGTCAGCATAGTTTGTATACATGCGCGCGACGCAACAGGACGGTCCAATCAATTCAGTGCGAAAAGTAATTCGGCTTCATTGTCTTGCCTTCCGTAGTTTCATCAGCCGGGACACTAGTCGCTATTTCGGCTACTTTGATTTTTGTCAACTACCGATACCGCTCTGTTCGCCAGCTGGCAACGGGCCCGGCGTTACCCTTTTCCGCCACGTGCAATGGCGTAATCTAAGCGAAAGGCGGAAGAAGGCATTTATTTTCGTGCAAATGCGTGCTGAAAAAACGCCTCATATTTTTACATAAATGTTTCGCTCGGAAGGAAAAAAAAGGATCGTTGTCACATTGCGACGGATTTCGCGAGAACGCGCTAAAATGTAAACAGTTGAATAGTATACCTTGACTTCCACAACTAAGCTGTATCAATGCGACAGCGCACTCGATATCGTTATAACGCGTTGTGTCGCCGTATGCGGAAAAAGAATCACGTCTAATTGATAGTTTTACACTAATTGCCATTCAAGTAGTCGACTGAGGCGTCCCATATTTGTGTATATTTTATTGCGTGCGTATTTTTAAGAGAGGAAAAGGAGCATAATAACGCTAGCTATAGAGCTCACTTCTGCATTTCGTAGGAACTAGATAATAGGGTCGCACGCACGACGTCGCGACACGACTCATCTAAGCGTCGACTGCAAACTGGAGTCGAGACGCGCCGCGACCAACCAACGAACTGCCCGCCGAACACGGACGAACATGACCGACGGAGTGCGTCGCGCGAATCGACTCATTTCCATTTATCAATTGTGATCGTGTTTATGATTTCTTGGAACAAGTTTTTTGTGTTGAGAGTGTAGCGACAATCGATGTGCTAAAAAAAAAAAAAAAAGAGATGCCGTACGAATTTACAGAGTCACAACATTGCTGCTTCTTGAGTAAACAATTGTTTTGCGATTCAACAATCGATTCCACCGTTCTGATAAAAATGGACATCTCGTTTGGTCAGACGAGTGCATCTTCATATTTTTTTCAAAACTAATAGTTGATTCGATTTTTCACTTCTTTCCATGATAATTCTATAATAATTCTATATTATTTGACATATAATCGAGCCATCCGGTTAACTAATTCAACCAAGAGGCTGTTCGTGTAGTACTCGGGACAAACTGTGTTAACCATGCTGACACGATCAACACCTGAACTCGCATGACCTATAACTACGACATATAATGTAATTTTCTGTGTTTCGGTATGTTTGTATGCAGGGACATATATTGTAACTCCAACCATTCACCGAACAAAGTGATGCATTGAATTTCACTAGCGTATGGAATATTTTCACTTTTTTACATTATACTTTCCCTCATTTCGTATATTATGAAACTCTGATGATAGATGAAATTTTACAAATATCGTCAATTTAAAGAAGCAAAGGAATATTTGAAAAGAAATGTATTTTATTCAATATAAAGTAGTGTGAAAATCTTCACTTCAAAAAAGCGTCATTGTTTTCCGCGACATCGATTGGTTGTTTCTCACCTTGACATCCGACGGTTGTAATTTATCGCATTATATAAATATTTTAATGGTTGGAGTGTAAGGGGGGAATATTGAATACTATAAAATAATAAAATGTGCAATGTTAATATTAAAATAGAGAATGTTATATAGAAAATGAATATAAATAACGATGATCTTCGGTGCGTCTAGTTGATTAAAAATCCTATGAGAGAACTACCGAGTGCACATAAAAAATTGTAACAGATGTGAGAGGCTAAAAACGGGAGATGCGTCAATCGAAATACGAATGAGACACGTAACGTGTAACTTTTAAGACGATGATCTTGAACAGTAACCTCCTATCTTCTATATTCTAAAATTAATGCCTAGCAAGAAAAAAATTGATTTCGATACAAGTGTGCGATTAGTTTAGCATCGATTATCCGATTTTTATTCTTGATAAAAACTTCTAGTAAGCATATATCTCAAGATACATCCTGAAAAATAGTATTATCATACATTCACTTTTGCGTTAAAATATTATTAAATATCGCGTGCTGAATTTTGCAAGAATTTCATTTTCCACACATCATTTTTCAAAATTTCATTTCTTAAAATTTCAATATCGATAATGTCGCAACACGCAATTGACAATGTCTGGTAGATAATTACCATACCGATGTATCATCTGCCTGCCAATTTACCATCTGGCGCACCATCTCGTTTCAACTACTATACTGTTGATAGAGTGAAATAGATGATAAAATAGAAGACTTCAGTAGATAAAGCAGATTATCAAACTGGTTCGATATTTCGTTCCTAAGAGCGACCAAATTTTTTACGAATCATTCATCTATATATTTATTTTTATCTCAAATACGCGATATCAGCGCGAAAAAAAGAAAAGAAAGATTACCCATCGTAGAATTTAAATAGGAGGGGAGCACACACGCAGCATGTATATAAATATTATATAAATATATACATTTATATAACGATTATATTTGTCATAATACAGTAGACAATTTAGCAATTAGAGAGATTAAAATAATTAAACGATATTCTTTCCGAAGTAAAATATTGCAAATAATGAAGTATATAATTTCTACGGTGAAAATAATATGGCTTGAATTCATGTTCGTGAAGAAAAATTTTATTTAATTTTTTTTTCTCTCTTGCCCATCGGACATAATTGTCACGATCTATGAGCTGGAAAGAGGCACAAAATTCGTTTTTCTCTTTTTCTTTATTCCCTTTCCTGCCTCGTAATTTTTAGAGATTAATCTTGTTAAGCATTTCCGGACAGCACGCACTTACTCTCGAATAGACGAGCAGTGTTTTCAGTGTAAAGGGTGATCCCGTATCACCGTGACAGTAATCCGATACGGATAGTCGTGTGTGGGACATAAAATACGTGATCCAAGGGCGGAGGAGCAAACGTGAAATTTGACAGTTTTGGAATATTCGCGTGTGTACATAAAAAATGCTGCTAGCTTACATATATACTGTCTTTTGTATAAATAAAAATCATTTTTATCGGCCGCCCACCGATCACCTTACAATTGTCAAAGCGTGTGTCCTAATTGCAGCGATTACGGCAATGAATTAAAAATTGTAAGTTATTCGTTCAAAAGTGGTATTCGTAGGGGCGAGACGAGATGATGCGAGATAGCTTGTGTTCACACGCTCGTTGTAAAACCTGATTGTTTTATGAAACAATTGTGCAGAGATGTTTTATTCGTCATAACGAAGAAATATTCATACGTGGTTACGCCACGAGGAATCTCCGTCTAGGCCCGGTACCGAAGCTCGGTCAGTATCGCGGCCACCCTCGTGCCGTACAGTTTGCGAGGGAGGAGACCGGTTGTTCCTGGCATCCCCTCTGTGGATATACACATATATACCATACGTATATGTATCCCCTTCCTCTTCCATCCCTCTCCCGACTTAATGCCAGTGCGATCGCGAGCGCGACCGTGAGCGCGCGCTTTCGAACGACGCGTCGTGTACGCCGCAAGGAACGATCAGTTCTTTCTCCACGTTCTCCATGCAAGGACTGCTCCGATCTGCACTCTCAATTTTAACCGTTTAACGAACGTATTCGATAACAATTACGCGGTTATCGCACATAAGCGTTCCGTGCGAACAAAGGTTCGCGCGTTTATTAAACGCTTTCACATGTGATCGCGAATTGGGAGCAATGTGATCGATAATTAGCCAAAACCAAAACTTGACACTGTGTCGTGAGTGAGCGGCCCAGTTTTATTCATCGATATGAAAATGTATACGCGCGGGCATTAGTATGTTTGCTTTGCTACGATCTAATTGGTATTCGAGACCGTCTTTGCCGTCGTCGTCGTCGTCGCCGCCGTCGTCGTCGTCGTCGTCGTCATCGTTGTTGTTGTCGCCGCTGTCATTGTCGTCGACATCGTTTTCGTTGCCGCCGCCGCCGTTATCGTGTTGATATTTCATGCGATAACTTCGAGATGAAGTCATTCTGGATACTAACGATCATCTGTCTGTTGACGGAGACCGTTGATAGTCGAGCTGTCGAAGATGTTACTAGTGAGAGTCAACGGGATAAACGACAACGTAGGTTCTCCGTCGAGGAGCTGCTTATCGCCAAGTTCCCGCATATTATCACTGGAGATTTGGACATTGACATTTGTAAGGCTGGTAAGCGTAGGGAAAGAGCGTGATAATTGCGCTTCCTAATCATTTAGGCTGTCACATGGTAGAGTGGAAAATAAATTTGCGCGCCGTACTATTTAAGAAACGTTATTGATGGTACAATGTTTTCTCTTTGCTTTATTAACGTTAATTTGGTACAAATATATTTCTTTTTTTATTTTCTCTCCTAAACGCACACACACAGAGGTCGTTTGATTCTAAAAAAATAATGCCAGATTATTCAATAGAAAAAATTATGCCAGATTCTCCTCAATGATCACGGCTTTCATAATAATACATTCTATTCTCTATTAAATTTCAATTATATTTGGTTTTACAAAAGTTATCATTTGAAAACAAATTAAAAAGGTATTCAACGTGAGTTTGCGTCTTTTAAAACGTCATCTCTCCTTATCTAAACAATTGGGTAATAAAACCTTTTGATAATTATATCAGTAACAGACAGACGGATAGATCGGTCGTCCCTATCTTTTGTCAAGTAACTCCACTTCTCTCAGAATTGTAGAAACTTATTATGTTCAAGACGAATCTGACACTAAGGGTTGAGGATTACCAAAGTAGGGTGGTAGAGACATCTCCTCCTGAAATGATTATCTTGAAAGTGTCGCGAGAACTGTAGACGAAGCGACAGCAAAGCAAGGGGAAGGGGATGACAAGCGGCGCGATGTATCTTTCGGGGGCGTTAACTTGCCTCTAAAGAAAGATATTTTTTCCAGAAACATATTGAATCGTGGCGATGTTAATATTTAAACAATATCTAAATTGTTATCGCGATAATATTTGAACGAAAGAGAGAGGGAGAGGAGAAGAGGGGGAGGATTAGCTCCAATCTTAAAAATATTTCGATTTAATTCATCCTTAATCTTATTTCTCTCTCTTTCTCTTTCCCGTAAATCTTTTCAAGAATAACAATGCTTGCAACTCCTTCTCCGTTTCTCAAGTTGCCTCAATTAATAGCCGATATCATTTTTACAATCATTCGTAATTTTTTATAATCTCTGTTGTATGTATCAAGCAACATTTAACAATCGACAAATAGAATAGACAGTAGTGTATGTTAACAATGAGTTAATTTTCAAAAGCGTGGGATCCTGTGTGGAAAATTATTAATTTTCCTTTGAGAATGATACAATAGCTAAATAAAATAGCTGGTAAAAGATAATTTCGCTACATAAAGTAGTCACTGATTTGATTGTTATCGACTATTGCTAATTGTTGTAGCTTACCGTAAAAGAAACGGTACATCTTGCTATTAGCAAATTTAATCAACGCGATCAAATGCCTTTGAACTCTTTATTCTCAGCGAAGAATTTTGCAATCTGGATCGATACAGGTCGACGAGAAATTACTCCCGATACAAACAATTGCTCGGTTGTATTTTTAACAAGATGCTGTCAATTGAGACCATGCTTTGTCGTTATGGTCTATGGAATTTTTAGCTCCCAATTAAGCAGTTCTAATTTTCATAACGCGGGAAAAGAGCACGTCGCGCTCTTTTGTGTTGCTCTAAAACGCCGAAGAAAAAGTTCACCGCTCGAATACCGTTGAGAGATCGCGTGTTCTCATATAACACTATAATGCATCCTGCTGGTACATGCTCCTGATACGTGCTCCAAGTTTTTCTTGTCCCGATTGCATGTAGAACTCGATCATACATGTGGCGATTTTTCGCCGAAGAGTGCAACTTCCATGAATCATATTTTTTACCTTTGCAAAGCTCCACATTTCACATCGTCTTTTAAACGACGTTTTCCTTTCCACTTCTCTTTAGATGTCCAGTGAAATATTGATGAGATATTTGGTGAACTTTTATGAAAATACATTAATTCTTCAAAGTTTCTCAGTTCCGCTTACAATTAGTCGGCTTACTCGTGGTGTTGCGTACATTTTATCTTTTCCAAAATATTTTCAACGATTTTATCCTTTCTCTTTTTCATCCTTTTGTTTTTTATCCTGCTTTTATAGCTTTTAAGCTCTAAAGCTCGTGTATCTTTTTTCTTTTATTTATCGCCTGTCTATTCGCGTGTCTTGATATTCTTCAAAATTGGACGAGAGAGACAAAATCTATATATCTCTGTGTGAGCAGTACGGCCCAAAATAGATGAAAGTATGCATAGTAACGCGTCACGAAAAATTAACGCAGCTAAGAATATTGCGTTGAATATATTTCTCAATCAGTACGATGGTCTTAGCGAACGACTTTTCGCAATTTTATAGTTATCATTAGCGACTGTTAAGATATCATAAATGCCGCGCAAAATTTACTCATCGTACGCACACGCGGAATCGATATTTTCATCTTCGATCGATGTATAATTATCATGATTATATTACTGGTAAGGAGAAAAGATATATCAAAATTGAAATATGGTATGCAAGGTGTAATATGTCCAACGACACCATCCAACATGCGTATACGTGGAACATCTTGAGAAACATCGTGTTACAATCATTTACGCAATATACTATACAGCAACGATGTTTCACCAATCTATGTGACAAGGTTGCTGCGTTAAGAATAAGCATATTAATATGTTTAGAACGATTAATATGTTTAGAACGATTCGTTTCCTTATGACCCGTGGTAGAATGCATGCGCATAGTTGGTGTTGCAACCGAATGTATAAAACATATCGATAAAAGCAACAAGTCTCTTTATTTGTTATATATTGTATGTAATTGAAAATATTAAACGAGGTGCCACAAGCTGGCGAGAAGGGAAGCTCTGTTAGTAGCACCGTTATACATGAGATAGTCGTTCGTAAAGCACTGTGAATCGATTACAACCGATTCTCGGTTAAGTTGATACGCCGTGCCGTTCGCTTTGCTTTCCTTCTGTTTGCTCGATTATCACATCGGGAGATAACATTTAACCTCCGCCATGCCTCTGCTCTCTCTCTCTCTCTCTCTCTCTTTTTCCCTCTTTCTTTCTCCCTTTCTCTTCCTCCTTCCCCCTATCTTTCTCTCTCTCTCTCTCTCTCTCTGGTACGCAGTTGAAGCGGCTCTTTTTATAATTGCAGGCGAGGAAATTATATTTTCCAATATACCGGCAAATTATGAGGATTACTTGAATTTCCTATGATATTACTTTTCTCAATTTTCAAGGGTTCATAAATCTTTGTGGCCGCTGGCTTTCTCATTTATTTCGAACTATTCATGCGCGTGATTAGAGAAATAATTTAATTAATATTTATTTTGGATGAATGTAGAACGACGGTATATAGCCGAATCAAACTCAGGAAGCAGAAAGCGACGCAAACGTGAGGAGAAGTTATTCCTCGGGATTAGGTCGAATGCACACATGGGATGAAAGAGAGACACTATGTGACGGAAGAATAGTAGCAAAAAGGAAGATCGCCTACTAGAGAGATTTCGTACGTCTGAAATTTATTTCACGAGCTTTCATCGCCGCCAATTACCATTGTTCGCGGATAAATTAAAAATGACGTTATTGAGAAACGTCGTAAACACAATGAATCACTATTGACACGGCCTTATTATCGCTCGACAAATAACAATGGTAGTCACTTTGAGCGCGATCGTTTCTTAATAACGTAGACTGTTCTTGTAATTAGCTGTGGAACTGCGTACTTGCATGCTCCACATATCGACGATGTATTCTTCTACAATAATACAATCTTTCTCGACTTAATCATGACCCCAGTATGTATAGCACGGATATCATGTTTTAAGAAAAGTTGTCCGTTTCAATTATTAACCCAGCAAGTATCGAGTAACATTACATCAATGTCACAATTTCTCAATAAACGATGTAACTGTTATTTAAACAAATAACAAGTTCCTCCTACAAGTTCCACGTTTTCTTCATTTACAAAAGTTCTGCGCGAAGATTAGTACGTGTCGTCGTCGGTTCGTCTTACACACACACACACACACACACACACATATCACCTCTCTCAATTCGATCCTTTGGCGCAATATGTATCAAATGAAATAAAAAGTGTATAAACGTCAGGATAATTTCCAAAGAAAAATAATTGATCAATTTGTGCGAGAAAAGAAAAAAGAACACGAAAAGAAGAAGGAAGTTCGTCATCTCTGTGGAAAATTGCAGTATCAAAATGTTTCCCGAATGTCGGATGCGCAACACATGTACCGCGCGTACTGGAAGTATGAATACCGGATCGTATAGCCGTAGGTAGAAAGAGACCAATAGGAAAACCGCAACGGAAGGTTGCGTTAGAAGGGATGCGGTGGAGCTCTCGAATGTTACCAGCTGCAAAAGTCTGGCAGATGAGTGGTATGAGTGGAAAAGAAAAATGTAGGAGGCCGAGGTTCCTGAGACTGAGTTCTAACATCAGCGGGGGAAGAAAAGAACAAATAGTCTTCTTAATCATCGCGGAAGCGTTGTCTACAGAGAAAAGAGCGAAAAGAGTAGAAAGAGGAAAAGGAAGAGAAATATCATTTGCGAAATAGAATAGAAAAATGTCCTTAATCTTTGCAGCTTATTCAACGGTTATAACGCCAAATGATAATAATTAGATTTATTACCGAAGTTAATAGCATTCCATCAATTTTCGGGAATATTCAATCAACAGGGTAGTCCCTTGCCGGCCTTTGATGTTTTAAATCGCATTTTTCCTATAAAAATGATCGTTCGACCCTTTCAATAATTACGATGTTAAATTGATCGTTTTGTTCGCGACACGCTACTTTGCGATTCCATCTCGTTTCGTGGAAACCGATGTCGAACATTGGTATAAAACTGACGCGTGCACACTTATATTATTGTATTATCTAGATCGGTGAAAGAATACCATTGCCGTGTTGCCGTGCGACGAGAAAGAAAAAAGGAATGGCGAGAAAACAGATATAAAGTTGACGTCAGTAGTGTACGCAAGCGTTTAATCCGACGCGATAGAGACTCGCTGCGAGAGGCTTCTCCATTCGAATCAATACAGCACACACTCGTACACATACTCGCGTAATCCGCGGACATACATATGTAATACACGCATGCGGTACGTCGCATTATGTTGAGAATGAAAATAGCAGACGTTAATATCAAGTCTGGTTGGAATTTCCTCTGTCAATGCATCTCATTCGCGTGCAGCCTCTTGCAAATAATAAATCCGTCTTCAATAGCACTGTTGGGAATTTATATCGTTTCAATTGTCTCCTGAGATTGGATCACCGCGAATGTTCTTGTAAATATGTCATAATTTGCGTATCGAAGATTAACGTCTCTTTCTGAATGAGTGGTAAATTCAAAGAAAGACTGAGCTTTTTTTTATTCGAATATTCCAGAGTGAGTGGCCCGAATGGTATTATCGACGATGAGGTATACACGGGGAAAATATCGTAGTTAAAATTACCACAAAATTTTATAATGCTGGATCATACCGGAATTATTATATATGTTGTAATCTTTAGAAGGATATGTGCAATATATCATTAGAGAATACAACACACATCATAATTTTAGTTATAATTCCGGTCTACCATTATAAAATTTTGTGTTAATTTTTATTAGAATTTTTTCTCCGTATAAAGAACATAAAAGATATTGATGTAAAATATTGGCGAGATAAACAATGATTGAGTCGAATTGTTCGGTCAACCATCGTAAGCGTTTCAACGTGAAAATTCCAACAATCTATCTAGCTAAGCGGAAGTAGCTCTTGTCTACTCCATTCTGTAAAGTATTCCTTCCTCCCTTTCAACTCTCCCCCTCTCTCTCTCTCTCTCTCTCTCTCTTTCGACCCCACTCATATCTCGCGTGCTCTTGCAAATGTCCTGGAAATGGAAAAGGAGGCTTCTCAGATCGATTCGGAGATTGGAACAGTTCCGACATCTCGATTGGCTCTCTGCCACGATTCCGACGATCGCATCTCGGATATAATATTTTATCATATCTTTGTTCAGCCTTTTATATGAAAAGTTTGTTTTCACTGATTTTCGTATTTTCTAACAAAAGCGACACAGTAATTTATACCTTTGTACTTTTATTCTATCATTTTTCGCTATGATTTGACTCGACAACCAAACAAACATAAGAAGAAGACGCATATTTATATTAGTGCCATTCGCGATTGAATATATCGGGCAACGTGAATAATAAAAAAATATGCAAATAGCGGGTCGCAAAGTGTTCACCACTTGTAATAATATATGAACGGAGTATATCGATGCAATTTTATTTTAACTTTCGGACGATGTTTCCGCCTGAATGGCATGAAATCACTGATTCGAAACGGACAGGGGTTTGGCATTATGTGGTTTGTAACCGACTGCACTATGCATATACATGCATTGCGTACGGGAATTATACAGGGCCGTATTTAGCGCATATTATCCTATGAAAGGTGTAAATATTTTTTCTATATATCACAAATGAACCGAAACATTTGCAGAGTTTACAACGGATTATTAGAATCTTAATAAGAGTCATGACTCTTAGGATGACAATGATAGCTACCACAACGGCGATTAAGGTTTGACGCAACAAGTCTTTGAACGAAATTCTCTATCTTAGAGAGAAAATAATAAAGATAACGTGGAAATTAATCATATATATATATATATATATATATATATATATATATACAAATATTTTTTATATCATAAATGGCTGTCCTCTACTATTGCGCGCGTCAAGTAATACAAATGAGTATGATTTCGCGATGAATCATCCAACTACAGCCCTGCGATTCGTTGCTACGAAGCTGTATTTACGGATATGTCCTCGCGAATGCGGCGATTTCAACCTCGTTAATACCCACCGAGGTGCGATCGTGCGCGTGCGCGAACGCCTAATTAATTAACCGAAACGGGCACCAACACGCAGGGGGATGTATGTACGCTTGCGACGCCGCGGATTGAAAGAATTCTAATTTATTACGTGCAATGCGCTCTCTCTCTCTCTCTCTCTCTTTCTTTTTCAGCTCATTAATGGAATTATGTAATGATAAATACGAATTCGATACATTTCAGACGGGTTTTACGGTGATATTGCACTGCCAAACATCAGATACGATACAGAATGGCGCGAACAAAAGTTAAATAAGAGCTACCTGGAAGAATTAAACAAATATAGAGAAGAGATATTGAAGGAAGGTCTTCAGGTGGAAGAGGAAGGTCTCACAGGTAAAAATATGTTATTATGCTATAATGCAATCCCCCCCCCCCCACACACACACACACACACATATATATATATAGTGCGAATATCGACATTTGATTATATAATCATACAGTTTACCACTGCGACAATAAAAATGTTTCAATTCGTAATTATTAGGATATTTGATTGGACCATTCGACCCGAGCAATTGTGCACGGTTTGGCCAATTTGTGGAAAATTTTTCTCATTTATTATTATGTCGTACGATTAACTCAAATCTGATTTGATTGTTCGTTTCACACAGAGATTCTCCAGTTCAAAAACCAACACGATGCCAACAAACAGGTACTCGGTGAACACGACAAGGTGTTCATTCAAGAGAAGCCGATCATGGTAGACCGCAACCAATATAACATGGATGGCAAGTCTGCCGATGGTTTTAGGTCAAATGCCAGGAACGACGATACTAATCCTGCAGTAAAAGACGTGGGATTTGAGTTCAGGTACTACAATGAATACGAATCAAATCACGCGTTTCAATACAAAAACATGAGCACACAAACATACACGCACGTATGCATGCGGGCATTATGTCTACATTTCTTTTTCATTACGTTATACACGTTATATTCAGGTGTTGGGAATATTTTCTATTTTATCGATTAATTGCATTACATACGGAACACGCTCGTCATTTACGAGGATCGTTCAAAAAGTATCTGGCCTAATAAAGAAAACACAATATTTCTACGTAAAATATAATTTTATTTTTCAATGTAGTCTCTCGCCATCTTGACACACTTATTTCAACAGTGCTCCAAAACAGCGATACCTCTTTTGTAAATCGATGAAGTCTTGAAAATAACCATTCACAGCAGCGATTACGAATCGGACGAAAATCTCTTACCACCAAGCTATATCTTTAGGTTCGAATGGAAATCGCACAGAATCCCCAAATCTGGCCATGCTGATCGGATGGAGAAAGACTTATTTCTTGCCCAAATGCTTTTCTTTGATCGCTCAGTTGTTGCAACAAATTAGCATAATACTCGCCATTTGTTATTTTCTCTTTCTCAAATATCGATCATTCAGCGTGAATCCTGAAAAAAAAAGACAGTCGCCTCTCTTTCTGACAAAACCGTTTTGTTTTCTTCGGTGGCGAAAAATTGTTGTGCGTCTATTGCCTTGATCGTTTCTTTGTTTCTGTAATGGCGGACTCTGGTTATAAATCGGCGTAAGATCCCTTTATGCGAAAACGTGTCAAAACAACAATGAAGCCGTTCCAGTCATTGCTGCGGTATGAGCAAATCCATCGTGTAGAGAGTTTTTTCACATTCAAACCTTTAGTTAAAATTGGATGCATACTGCAATGTGCCCATTATGTCTGCCACCTCGCGCACTTCAACGCGACGGTCACCCAACACATGATGGACATTTTCAATCGTTTCGCCGGTAGTAACCATTTTTGGGACGTCCACTACGCGATACATCATTACGTTCACACGCTTAAGCTTGAGAAAACGGTTCTTAATCACTGAGAATGAAGGAGTTCTGAAAATGTTGAATCTGCTTTGCTCCTCATTGCAACCGTCTACGCTTGATGACATCAGAAAACCATGCTGAGAATTTTTGCGTTCGAATAAAAAGACAAAATGGCGATTGTACGTTAGTAAAATTGGATCAACACTTTTCTCGTAGTCGAACAATCAATCAAATAATCGTAAAATTAACATTGACAAAATCATGAGAAAAGGAAAATTAAAAGAAAAATTAAAAATTAATGTGACTATTTATTGATCGCACGAGTATGAGAAAAATGTCGGTCTAATTTTACAAGTGTGCGATCGTCATTTTGCGGATATATTTTTTTATTGGATTAACATACAACGCAAGAATTCTTGGTATATCTTTTCTTGCTTTTGACGTCATTAAATAAAGACTGTTGTAGTCAGGAGCTTTAAGCCTTTTACATGAAAGTACTTTATCACTGTCTGCAACTCAGTCCGTTTTCTCCATTCTTTACAAATTTACTCGTTTACTTTGGCGCACTATCAAACAAAGACCAATCGATCGCATTATACTAGAATATCAAACCTAACAAAGGAAGGTTGTGAAATATGTTACTGAGGATTTGGGACGAAATTCGCGACGTATCAGGCCATGTATACGAACGACCCTCGCAAGCGAGTAGAATGATGATACTGATCGACAGTTATGCGGTTATACCATTAGATTGGAATCCTCGACACAAGTCTCGAAGAAGAGACGTCGACGACCAAGTCATCATCGACAACTTTCGAGGACAGAATCAACCAAGGCGAGACAACAATCGATCGATAATGATACGTTTCTTGAATTTCCTACTTCTACAAATTTGAGTACCGACACTAGTAAATATATAGATTACGCGGATAGCATCAAAGAGACATCAATCGTGCAAATTAAAATGAGAACGCGAGGTCTATCGAGTCGACGGCACAGATGTCATCATCGCAGAAGGTAGGAAGGATGCATTATCTCAGGTACCATAGGTACATAATCATAGATTTCTATCAAGTGTACTGTATACACATATGTAATCGCAAATTATAAATCTCTCATACTAGTATGTTTTTATTGATTAATCGCTCGAGTGAGTTAAATTTGGCAAGTGAATTGAAATTTTGCTATGGTCGCTACTATTTCGCATTGTGAATAATATTCGGCAATACGAAAACTGGCGTGAAAATCATTCGTATATTTTGCGTCGAGTTATCAGAGAGTCGAATTGCGTTTTGAATTAATTCTAAATAATTCTCCATGAAATTTTTTCTCTCCGCTAATGTACTTGGATAAAAATATCGCGTCTTCTCGATTTTCACAACGAACGATTAAACAGCACACGTTGTCTTCCACTTGCACCGCTGGCGAGAGCGTCAACCTCCAAGTATCGTCAATGATATTTCCTCTGGTGGGAAGCCATCTCGCAATGCCAATAACAATGCCCGTCATCGTAAAGCTGGAAAATAGGGTCCGATACTACCCTCCGGGCATTTTCAGCCCTCGAACTGCCAATAACTTGTCAACGACGTTTCGTGCGGTGTCTACTGACCAGGTATACCGCATCCACATTAGAGTGTCATACGGAAATTCCATCTTTTAGATGCGCGAGAGACGATAATTTTCCACCATGTTTTTGTAATATCGTCGACTCAAACGATTCTCTAGACGCGTTGTGTCGCTTTGTCTCGCCTTCCGTAGCTTCGCGTCAACTCGAATTTAGAATAATTTAACTTTGGAAGAATCCTGGTGGTTGCAGTAGGTATAGCGAAATAGACACGTACGCGCGTCGTTTGATCCGCGTATCCGTCATTGCGTATCGTTATCTATCGTTACGTAAGGAAGTATATAGCTCGGTCCAGCAAGTGAACCTTTCTAGACTTTTCAAGAGACTGGATCGTATTTCGCAATATCGGATATAGGCCGTAAACACACACGTTTTCAGCCTGTTTCAAAGCTCTGTCCAATCCCTGTATATACGTTTCGCGACCCTTTTGCCTCTTTTCACCCCTTTAGCATACTCGTATATATATACCGTTTGCGGGGTGCATTATCAAGTTTCTACGCGAAATGGTACATGATACTCGATAAATAACATAAATTCTGTTCCCGTGTTTGTTTTTCGTTAAAACAAGAAAGCGAAATCATCGGTAACGCGTGTACGTGACTCGAAAGTGATACGTTTCGTTTTTAATGTAGAACCGACAACTCGAACGAACTCAAATCGTTGGCATCTTTGCTCCTCTCGATCGTGTATACTTGTGCAAACTCACATGTCAGAATATCATCTAGTGATTATAACGATTGTGCAAAACACGAAACAAGGGCTCGGGACAACAGCGTGGTAAACGCAATAGAGGAAGTATGATGTACATTTCAACGGTATTCATTAACGCACTAAATATTTCTCCTCGTTTCTTCACGATGCGGGCGTACAATTACGCCGCACAGTTCGCACGCGAGAGACGCTAATTAATTGTAACGCCCTACTGATTTAGGAACGCCTTATTGCCTAAGTGCTAGCGGTTAGAACTGGCTGGCTGGTAGGCTCGAATAACGGAGGAGAATTACGCGTGCCTTCGGTAATAAGTGTTGGTAAACGAGCGATAGAAAAACCGTGCGCACAAATACGCATATAAGTGTGCGATTTATAAGCAGCTTGACGTCCCACGCTATTGCGAAATATTTCGTTCCTTCCAATATTATACAACCATTGCTTACTGTTTCGTCGACGACAATATCCGGTACGTGGAAAGGATTCGCGGTACTTGAAATACAAAATCAAATCGCGTCATTCGAAATATATCGCGACCTAATATTTTCACATACATTGATATTATTTTTCTTTTCTTCCTCATTTTTCACTTCTACTTTGATCGGTTGGCCGTTTTAATTCTAAGTACACTTTCATTATCGTTGCAACAATATTTATGATACGATTAACGGTCCAATGGTAATTTCGTTCGTTCTCGTAAAAAGTTACGTGATGCCTTCGATCAATGCGTGCAGCGGTCCAATTTATCGCTATACTTGGAGAATCGTTTTTCGCCACGGATGCTTGTTTTCGAATCGGAAGAGTTTTATGTCACTTTTAAAATTACACGTTTCATGCGAAAACAGGCTTATGGTCTCGCTGGTCGTATAAGTTTTATGTTGTCTATCGCAGTTTTATCGACATTCGTGATCAATGTTTTCGACGTCTTCTCTCTCTCTCTCTCCCCCCCCCCCTCTCTCTCTTACTTTATGCTCCGCCAAAAAAGTGTACGCGCACGTGTGTGTAAATCAAGTCAATATATATTTGTGTCAAGTTTAAGATAAGAGTCTATTCAGTAAAAACTATCGCAGATTTATCGCAATTATATGGCGTCATAGACGTTATGAAAGAGAAAGAAGAGCCTGAATGAAGTTAGCCCTCCACTTTTCGAGTTGACTTATCATGACAGTTGTGCTGATTTGTGTTACATTATATATATACATAAAGTGAGAAAAATAAACCGCCAGTTTCCATTAATTTTTCGATTTTTTCAATTATGTCAAGTTGAGTTAAATTATGTTGATATTGTGCTAAAGTAGTATCTTCGAAAGGTAACAATGGAAGAAATTGAACGGAATTGAAAGGAATTGAAGAAATTGTAGGAAACAATTTTAGGCGAAACATTATAAAATTCACGTTTGTATCAGTTAGTCAAATGGAGTATAATTGCGTATCTAAGTTGTATGCTAGCATAGCACAAGTCGGTTTCGCCGGCACAAAAACTGTAAAGGCCCTTAACGATCGTATTCTGTACAAAGTACCCTTTTTGTACCATCGACAACAAAATTTGTGGCGCAACGCTCGAATATGCAATTTGATGCAAAGTCTAGAAACCGTAGTTATGGACATAAACTGCTAGCGCGAAGGGCCGCGGTCAAGAGTGCCTTAAAATTTTTGTGCCGGCGAAGTTTGTGATGGCTCGTGTATTATGCCAACTCGGATGTGCAATTATACATCGCTTGACCAATTGACGTGAATTTCGTAATGTTTTGCCCAAAACTGTCTTTTTTTTTTTCGTTCTTTCATTAAAGGGCACAATGTTAACAAAACTTGGCACAATTGAAAAAAATGGTAAAAATAGTGGGGGCCAGCAAAAAGTCATCCTTTTCACGTATCGTTATCGGTGTCGCGGTTTTACAATTCGACCACAATACAAATCAACACAAATGCTCGAAAGGGCTAACGTTCAGGCAAAAAAAAAAAAGAAAGATGTATGAGAAAATATTACATACGAGTATTATTGTCGGTACCTTTTTACATCCTTAGAATCTCTCGTCGCAATCGCCAAACGCACGATGCGTCGGATGAAATTGTTTCCGTACACGATCGACGTCTTCGTTCCATCGAATTTTACGATATGGAACACAAACCGAAATATATAGCCAACAAACGTGGCACGACGAGACACACGTTTCGAGCACGTCGAGCGGCTACCGCGAGGAAGGAACGAGTGTGGGATCATGGCGTAATCCCCTACGAGATTGATGGTAATTTTTCCGGCGCGCACAAAGCCCTGTTCAAGCAGGCGATGAGACATTGGGAAAATTTCACTTGTGTAAAATTTGTGGAAAGGGTACCCAGAGAACATCCCAATTACATCCTATTTACAGAAAGACCTTGTGGGTGAGTTGTCCGTTGAATGCTACCGTGAAGCGGATAGATACGAATGTATGTTTCCTCGGCAGATGTTGCTCCTTTGTCGGAAAAAGAGGTAATGGACCGCAGGCTATCAGCATCGGGAAGAATTGCGACAAGTTTGGTATAGTAGTACACGAATTGGGCCATGTCGTTGGATTTTGGCACGAACATACACGACCGGATCGCGATCGTCACGTGCAAATCATCCGTGACAACATTATGAGCGGTGAGTGCATAAAGAAATATTTGATAAATTATCGGGAATATCACATTCTGCTTCGGTACATATCGGTAGAAGTTTGGTAAGGTCATCGCACGCATCGTAATTTTCAACTCATTGTAAAGAATCAAGAGATAACGTGTCGAAATATATATCGAACGCATAAATATATATCACATATATGTACTCTCGCTCGGTGTTTGGTGAACGTGAGTAGGATTTATTCCAAGGCACACGTTGTATGTGCTCAGAGCAATGTTTGCAGCCGCGTAAGTCCTAAATATACGTATGCCTCGGTTTCCATTTCAGATTAATAGTCTAATTTATCGGGAACGTGTAAATATCACCGATCATTAGCAGGAACGTATTCCGATATTTATACGCGGCAAATACTAGAAATGATGGATCATATAGCAATTGGTGAGTTGGCCGTGGTCCTCCAAATGAGAAACGTTCGTCCGTTAGAGTTTCCGCATCTTGAGTGGTTCGTCACGCAAACTCGCTCGACAGTGTATATATACCGTGTAGATATAACCGCGCCGGGTATTCTTCATTCACGTCGCGAATGTATAGGAAAATTAATATTACGTCTTTCAACAGGTCAGGAATATAATTTTAATAAGTTGACGGAAGAGGAAGTGAATTCGCTCGGTTTACCCTATGACTACGATTCTATTATGCATTATGCGAAGAATACCTTCTCAAAAGGCACTTATTTGGACACAATCCTACCTATGGAAATCCATGGGAAGAAGAGACCTGAAATCGGACAGAGAATCAGACTGAGCGAAGGCGACATCGCGCAAACGAATCTTTTGTACAAATGTTACAGTAAGAATTTCAAATTTTCCGAATGTTTCTCATAATTCCAACGACCATCCATCACGTGTGTTAGTTTTCGCAAAAGTGTTTCGAATGATAAGCTTCAAAAATGATAAAAAGAAATGTCGATCATTGTGCATCTGAAACATATTCTCGGAATGCAACGCGGATTAAGTACATTGATCGAATTGACAGAATGCGGCAGGACTTTGCAGGAGAATAGTGGTAGCTTTGGATCACCGAATCACCCGAACAATTCTCCGTCTATCGACGGAGAACGATGCGAATGGAGGATCACGGCGACGCATGGGGAACGTATCGTCCTAAACATCACCTCTCTCGATATATTCAAAAGTGATTTCTGCCGCAGCGATTACCTCGAAATTCGAGACGGATACTGGCACAAGAGCAACGTATTAGGTGAGACTTTTACAAAAGATCGCGCAAATTACACGAGATGCCGAATAATACGGATACAACGAATGAGCATCATTGACCAGAATATACATTCCTCGCTCCTTCATCTCGCTCATGCTTCGCGTTCATTTAATTCAGGTCGATTTTGCGGCAGCGGTAAGATGAAGGAGCCCGTGGTTTCGACTGGAAGTCGCATGTTGGTAACATACGTAACATCCAGTCGACAAAACGGCCATCGTGGTTTCACAGCGAATTACGAGGCTGTTTGCGGCGGCGATGTCGAATTGGACGGCGTAGGTCATCTAGAATCACCAAATTATCCGGAGGAATATCAGTCCAGTAAGGAGTGCGTGTGGAGACTGTCCGTGCCTCGAGACTATCAAGTGGCTTTGAAGTTTCAGTCTTTTGAGATCGAGAACCACGACAATTGCGTGTACGATTATGTCGAAGTGCGTGACGGACATAACGAGGATTCAGCCTTAATCGGGGTTTATTGCGGGTACAAGGTACCGCCGGATATCAAGTCGACGGGTAATCAATTATTCGTCAAATTCGTCAGCGATGGTTCCGTACAAAAGGCTGGTTTCTCGGCGACTTTTATGAAAGGTGCGTAAGAGCATTTCGCAACGTACGACAACATCGTAATCCTTTTACTTTGACAGAATTCGACGAGTGCAAATTAACAGACCACGGTTGCGAGCACGATTGTATCAATACGCTCGGTGGGTATGAATGTTCTTGCAAAGTTGGTTTCGAGCTGCATTCCGACGGGAAACACTGTGAAGGTAAGAAGACGGGGAGAGAGGCCCGAAGAGAGACGTGAATGTATTCTTACGTTTTTCCTATAGACGCATGCGGTGGATTTTTCGACGATAGTAACGGTACCATTACGAGTCCGTCGTTCCCCGAGTCATATCCGGGAAATAAAAATTGTGTCTGGGAAATTATCGCTCCGCCTCAATATCGCATAACTTTGAACTTCACACATTTCGACTTGGAGGGCAATAACATGTATCAGGAAGAATGCGAGTACGATTCAGTGGAAGTGGTGAGCAAACTCGGCGAGGATGTTTACAGAAAGCACGGGATATTTTGCGGTGCGCGATTGCCACCACTGATTACATCCGAAGGCAATTTTATGAGAATCACCTTCACATCCGACAACAGGTTTTACATCACGCATGCATCGAATTATATCAATTCGGTGGTCGGTGTAAGAATATTACGAAGAAACATTACACCGAAAGTTTAATAGACTAAAACGGGGAAACAGATGTTTTGTGGTTGGATGACCAAAATTTAGTACTCTGAACCATGAATTTGAAAACAAACTTTTTTTCTCATTTTCATTTCAGAATCATCTTACACCGACGTAAATATTCGGAGGAAAGCGTACGATGTCAATCTTTGTCTTTTGTTCAATAGTGTTCAGAAATCGGGCTTTGCTGCCGTATTCTTCACGGATATGGATGAGTGTGCGAATAACAACGGAGGGTGTCAGCACGAATGCAAAAATACGATAGGTTCTTACCAGTGTTCGTGCCACAACGGTTTTACGCTTCACGAAAACGGTCACGATTGCAAAGAGGGTGGTTGCAAGTACGAGATCACCGCGCCCATGGGGACGATTACTTCACCCAACTATCCGGATTATTATCCCGGCCGTAAGGATTGCGTTTGGCATTTCACCACGAGGCCGGGCCACAGAATAAAATTGGTCTGTAGTGTCATCTTGCAAAAATTAGCAAATGATAATATTGGGCGCAAAAAAAGAGCAAAAAAGAGAGACTCGTGTGACGAACAAAAATCAATAATTGCAGATTTTTCGAGTTTTCGAGATGGAACCGCATCAAGAATGCGCGTACGATCACATAGCAATTTATGACGGAGATTCGCCAGACAGCATTACCTTGGGCAGATTCTGCGGTACCAAGGAACCACATCCAATTCTTGCAACCGCCAATCAAATGTACATGGTCTTCAAAAGCGATGCTTCCGTGCAGAGGAAAGGATTTCTCGCGACCCATAGCACAGGTTGGCACATAGCGCGCGCGCAAATTTCCGGTAACAATGATTCGCATGATGTCAAAGAAATACCTTCGCCCAGAAAGAATGCATCGTCATGTGTCCGCCCAGTGAGCGAGAATAACATCAATCTTTAGAAACATTGATTTTATATGGATTTTATAAACTTGTTGGCATAATATTTTACAAATGTTTCGAAGCTGTTACTCGACGATATTATATATCGAATATCCCTAAATGTTAAAATCAGAGCGTGACGTTTGTATACAACGTTAAGAAATATATATATATATTTGTCACATGCTATAAAATTATAATAACGTTGTCTTAACGATTTCTCGCTTACTGGCCCTTGTTATATGGTGAGGCAAAAAAAAATCTTTTTCTTACAGCTTGTGGTGGTCACCTTATGGCAACGGATAGAGCTAAGCACTTGTATTCTCATCCTAAATACGGTTATCACAATTACGATCACAGAACTGACTGTGACTGGGCGATAGAGGCACCGCTTGGCAAAAACGTTCACCTGACTTTCATTTCATTCCACCTCGAATACGAAAGCGAATGTGGATACGACTTTGTCGAAGTCTTTTCTGGTTTGGACGCATCTAGTCCACCTTACGGACGATATTGCGGCAATTCCGTGAGTATATTCATAATATCACGAGAACAATCCAAAGTTGTACACTCGAGTCGATGATAATTTTCTATACTAAAGTTACACGGGAGTTCAGTCTACACACGTAGGAAAATTGCACAAGCATTTCTAATTACGATATTGTGATCTGACGTTCCACAAGAAAGTGTACGGTCGAGAATAGAGAAGAAAAGAGATTGTACACTCAGAAAAGTATCGTTAAAATGACTGAAAAGTGGGTCTGGGTGGTTGTTGTCAATTATTGCTTGGAACTTTCTTGGTATGATTTCGACTACTTTTTTCTTTTCCGAGTATATCAACATAGAGAACACTTTGTGGTCAACAGTTGCTTGAGAGTAAAAAATAAGCTTCCTTTGTAGTGTTTACACTACTTTATGTAGAGGGCCATGCATTCTGAATTGTCACAACGTATGTCAAGCTCATCAGAGGTGGCTTCGATAATGCGAACATCAACTCTTGGAACACTGCATCGTAACACTCGAAATGCTTTGCAGTCATTTTGGAAAAAATCACTCTGATAAAAAGTAATGCTCGTAATGACAATAAACGATGCACAAAGTGCATGTTTTTCAACGTCACTAAGCGGATGGCGCTACCGGGTCAACTGTCTTGAAGCAAGGTTATACAATTTCTTGTGGAACAGATGTACATAATGAAATGTGCCTATAGTGACTATAGAGACATACGTATGATCGTAGCGTCAAACGATAATGGTCGTTGCATTTGCAGAATACCACTGACTTTATGTCGATGAACGAAGCGCTGTTGATAAGATTCAGAACGGATGATACGATCGCCAACAAAGGCTTTGCGGCTATTTTTGTGGCGGTCGATCGGCAGGAGAGCGAGGAAAATCTCGGCGGCGAAGACGATGAAGAAAATCTTTGATCTTTACTCATCTCAATCTGTCCGTCGATTGGAAGCGACTATTTCGACACTTACAACATCACTCGCGCGACAATATGTTAGATGCATAAAGTCATAAGTAAGATGTAATTTTTACATATCGGATGACATGTTAGTTCGACGCTTTGATCGATAATCCTCGTAATCATATATCATGTAATTGTTTTAATGCGACACTAAATACGATCGAGGGTTGTTGTAATAGAAGGAGGGATATCTTCTCCCTTACGTCTCAATCGCTACCGGTGGTGATAATTATGTGTTACAAATTATTGGATTGTCCGACAAGTACGAGTTTCAACGGATGCCTCTGTGGAGCATTGCGTAAGCTGTCGATTGAAAGTATATGATATCTGTATATCGTTCGATAAGTGATATTTCAACGCGTCATTTGGCAAATGTTTAAGCACGCGCATGGTTCGACAGACAGCGCACTGGTATGCTATACTGTAGAGGTCTCACCTACCGGTGGAACCAAGATATTTTCATACGCTCGTGTCTCCTTTCCGATGGGCTGGCAAACCACCGAGAATATGTTTGCCATGAAAACCTCAAACAATCTGCTGTTCGGAATCGACGTTAAACCGTAGGTCTCATGTATATAATTTGCGTGCGCATCTCAAATATATGCGAGAAAAGAGATAGGCTAGTCCTACAAAGGGCTGTAGCACCAATAAAAAAAGGACTCGGCAAATGTTTGGTTGAGATCGATTGAATCTGTGCGTTGTTACTGAGTTTTGAAGATGGAAGATAAAAATATATATCATCGGTATGTTTTTCTAGTACGGTGAAGGGAAAAACGCTGCGCGGACGGAGTGGGCGAAATTTTTGGAGTGTACGGATGCTCAATCAATCGTTTGAAAGTGGTTAGTTAAATTTAAAACGGGTAATTTTGACGATGCGAAGTGCTCCGGAGGACTCTTTCGGATAATCTAAAACAACCCACTCTGAAGAAATCATAAATGTTCCAAAAAAGTGCTATTCATGATCATTTGGTGAATACGTTTCACGGCATGATGTTTAGGTTCCACATAATTTGTCCAAAACAAACATTGACTGATTTTCCATCTTCATGTGTTGCTCAAACGCAACGACACATTTCTGAAACATGACGAAAAATGTATTTCTTACGACAACGTTGTGCGAGAAAGCTGGTGAACAAAAACAACACCAGACAAACTGATATTCATGTGTTGTGCTCTGGTGGGATTAGAAGGATATTTTTTATCATAAACTGCTCCCACGGAACTGAACCATAAAATTTGGACAATTTGAAACATCCAATAGAAGTGGTCAGAATTCGCAAATGGGAAAGGTGTTTCACCAAAATAACGCTAGACCTCATATATCTTTGATCATTCGAAAGAAGTTGCATGGCTTGTATCCGCCGGACATTGCGCTGGTTTAAATTCTTTGAATGGGAAAACATTCGACCGTTTGTAAAAGATCATGACTTCTTTGCCTTCAAATCAGCCAAGTTCTTCTTCGAGGGCGAAATTTTACGGTTGCCGGAAAAATGGGTTAAAATAGTGCAACAAAATGATGGATACTTTGAATAAAGTTTCAATTTAGTATTCAAAAATTGCGTTTCATTTTAACCCGAAAAACTCGTACGAACTTTTCGGACAACCCAATATATCCGTCAACAAAAAAAATATTTCATATTTAATATTTGGCCTGCGGGATATCAATGTGCCATATGATACATTAAATGATATTATACTTTCGATTGGTTGATTCGGAGAAAGATAAATATAACGTTATATAAGTGGAACTCCTGCAGCGAATCAATAGCATACATACGTATATATAATTATCACGTATAAAAAAACCTATAATGTATAATGAATAGACATCAATCTACGCGTCGATACCGTTTTCATATGGCACTGCCGAGGTGACTTGATGCTTCATTTGACACATTATAATGGATCGCAACGGGAAAATAGTATGGAAATTTGCATAATAATACCCAATGTTACGAGCGTCGTATAATACTGGTTGATAATATCGACGATCAACATTTTCATGATATCCTGCGTATAATGCATCGTCATGTACGGAAATATGTGTAAGTTCTTGTCCGTAAGTTCTTGCTCGGAAGCACTGTATTTAAAATGATATGAGAGCCAACAGTGTTTTTAGATTAGATATTTCGTTGTTTTTTTTTTTCAGTGTTACAATATTGCGTGCAAATTTTAACACATGTCAAATGTATAATATCCGTATGTGTGTCTATGCACGCATGCATGAGAGAGTATTCGAAATCTCGTCGAACGTGCGTTTATTGTATATAGATGATGATAATTATAAATACTACGTCGTTTTATATGTAGTGGCGGCATTTAGTAGTTTATCAAAATGTCAAATAAATATTGGAACGTTTACTTTTTATATACACGCTATGACAGTCGGTTAGCGGTTATTGGTAATTCAGGTCTCTCGGAAGGATCTCGTTGGGGATTGCCGAATACTGTGAACAATTGGAATCAATAATAGTAATGTTTTATCAAAACATGTTAATCACATCGTGGTGTACCGTTCATGTTTGTAGTGGAGAAATTGAGGAGGATGTGTCGGCGGACAATTTTTTTTTTCTTACAATTTGCCTCAAATCTTGCGACTGCTCTTACACTTTTACCCATTGTACTTATCCTGCTATCCTTAATTCTAAGCGATTTTTGGTGAGAGCAATTTTACTTGAAGAAGGAGACTTACGTGTTTACAAAATGTCGATTTATGAAGGACACGGCGTTAAATCGGACGCCAAATCAATTCACATCATGGAAGCCTTGAGGATTATTCTTCTAAGCGATTTGTATTTTACGTGGTATTTAGCGACACTTGTTCCGAATATTACTTTATTCAAGTGGTGCTGCTTGATCCAAATGGCATGTAATTTATTTGATACTTAATATAAGAGGTACAACGTTACTTACAAGGAACAGTCGGAACAGTATCTCATCGATTTTGATGGGCCTCGGATATGTTGTAGAGCATCGAAAGATAAAAAATCCCATACCTTTTTTTTTAGCGGTGTATCTCGACGTTGAAACAATCCCTTGAAGAAAACGGACTTTTTCATTTTTAGCAAATATCTTCTAAAGTACGAAGTATATGAAAAAAGTCTCATACAAAAGTTTTATAGTATTTTATACTCTTTGCAACGATGTATTCAATCTAAAAAAAAAATGTCAAATTTTTTCATCCCCCCTTTTCCGTTCGTTACTTTCGAAAATTTTTAAATTTTTATTATAGCAAAAATTATAGAGCATTGAATGCCAAATCCATCCATACGTAATAATAGAAGGTCGTCTCGATTAAATCTTTGGAAAACGACGTGATAATATAGTGCCATTGGTGCTATAGACGCCGCACTGTGCGAATAAGTAGCTATACCATTACGTTGTACTATTTATCTTCAGCTACGCTTCACAACTGCTTATGCATATTTTCTCATACTACAAGATGACAACAAATTAATCCATATGATATATTGTGCAACGTGTTACACGAAATAAAAATGTGAGTAAGAGATAAATTTGCAAAAAACATTTTAAAGTCTTAAGTATTCATTCGTTATTTAACAAATCTGTACATACAATAACAGTAGGAAACGCATGTGTAACGGCGTCGTTATTTGTAAAAAAATTTCAAATGTATATTTCTTGAATAAAATATGTGTGAAATCTATGTTCATTGCAATCTTAAAGGTAAGTCGATGCAAGATCAAGGTGAATTAAAATAAAGCCGCAATGCGTGAAATAAAGAAATACAGAACCTATTACTGAAGATGTACGTGTTCGTCGAATGTGCCGATTGGCTATCGGAAAGAAAATTTCTAGAGTCCCTAACATTTTCTCTAGATGTAATACCATCTTCAATGAGTGAACAGCAATTTTTTTGCACATGGATTTTGCCTAAATGGACGCGGCAACGCTTGCCGCGCGGCGAAAGCCAATCAATGTGCCGTTTTTCGGTAAGAACTAGGAATTTATTGGCGAACTTCCGCCGCGCGATAAGCGTTGCCGCGTGGGCAGAAGCCATTAGGTCCCGATTTACCGGGGCCTAAAACCTGTATCAGACTAGGGGTTGAAGATTTAATTGAAATTTGACCAATCAGTGTGGAATTCACTAAATTTAAGTTTAGTTAACTTTATACTAATCGGTTAAATTCCATTCAGTGTCTATCCCTAATTCGTAGTCTGATACGGGTGGGCAAAATCCTCATATATCGGTCTAAGAGCATACACCAATCAGATTCACGGACTTTAGGGTCGGTATTCATAGTCGGATCTTATATTTAAGCTCGTCTTAAGTTTATCATTAGATGCTGCACGGCTCATTTCATTGGCTATGAAACATCTGAAGATGAATTTAAGACTATCTTAAATATAAGATCTGACTATAAATATCGGCCTCGAAGTTACGAATCTTTTTTTCTCTGTTGAACGTAGCCAATTTTTGATCGCTGCGCGCGTCGCCACCAATTTGACAGTCCACAGCGAAGGGTGGGGGCTGTGGTGTACCACGGCCATATTTGCTACTTGCGTGTGACTTTTGAAGAACGGATAAAAAATAACCCAACTTTCTTCGTACCTTTCTGCGTGAAAAAGATGTTGCTTTGGAGAATTGTCCACTGACTGTTCCTACGTTGGTATCATCTTAACGCGACTGCGGCTTCACGCCGAAGTCTTTCATCTTCCGCACGAAGGCTATTCCCTTTTACCTGGAAAATGGTTCGTTCACCTGAGAGTCATATAGTATATTGTAATTTAAAGATATGCCGCAACTCTCAAATGTGTCAAACTAATCACTTTTGATTTTTGCTTCAGAGTTTTTTCGGTTTTGGTCAGTCCGCCGACATAGAGATTACATTGGACGGCGCCGAAACAAGGAAGACTGCAGACATTAAATCCGAAGATGGCAAGAAAGAACGACATTTGTTGTATTATGACGGCGAAACTGTATCTGGCAAGGTCTGCTTTCTGGAATCGACCGTGGTATCGATTCGTCACTGATCATAACTTATGAACATTGTTCTTTTTAGCTAAACATACTGTATTATTTCAAGAAATTTATGTATACATCGAGACATATGAAACGTGAGATTCATTCTCAAGCTTCAGTATACGTAAATTTCATACTAATACAGCCAAACCAACTAAAAAGAACAGATCACATGGCTTGACGAGTTTAATATATTAATATGTACTTGTACATTGCTTCTTTGATATACAGAGAACTTGTGTGTTCGTATCAAAATCTCATTTTGATACCTTCATACTGTGTTCTTTATTGTATGTTATTTCAAGTTTTACTGACAATATATTATTAAATAGTAACTAAATATGTACATTCACAACTATATATACACACATATACTAGCATATGCATGTGAATATATACAAACAATATTATTGTACATGTTTTTGATAGATATTCATTTTAGTATATTCTTTAAATTTAGTACTATGGATGTTATCTAGGCCATGTTCCGATTTTGGTTGTCGATACTGAAAATCTAATTTATGTTACTATACTGTTGATTTTTAATATTGGAAGTGAATATCATAATATATTCAATGCTTCGAAACATTTTAGCAACTTGAGCTTTAAATAGGCCGTATGTTCTGTACTTACCGATTTGTGTTTTCTTATGTTATATCTCATTTCTTTCCTTCTGATAAAATTTTCATACCAAATTTATGTTTCCAGATTAATATCAGTTTAAGAAAAGCTGGTAAATTGGAGCATCAAGGTGTTAAAGTAGAATTTATCGGACAAATTGAACTATATTATGATAGAGGTAATCATCATGAGTTTACCAGTTTGGTGAAAGAATTGGCAAGGCCGGGAGAGTTAACACATAATACAGTATATACATTTGAATTCCCAAACGTGGAAAAACCATTTGAGAGTTACACTGGATCTAATGTGCGACTAAGATATTTCTTAAAAGTGACAATTGTACGAAGACTTAGTGACATTGTTAAAGAACTTGAATTAGTTGTGCACACGCTTAGTTCCTATCCAGATATGAATAATCCCATTAAGATGGAAGTTGGGATTGAAGACTGCCTGCATATCGAATTTGAATATAATAAAAGCAAGTAAGTTACTTATCTCTCTTGTACTTTTATTTCACTTATTTTCTTGAGCTCTGTTGGATCTACTTTATAGTAATAACCTCCTATTATTATTTTTTTCAGATATCATTTGAAAGATGTAATCGTTGGAAAAATATACTTTCTTTTGGTTAGAATTAAAATAAAACATATGGAAATAGCAATTATTAAACGTGAAACTACTGGTTCTGGTATGCTATGAATAACTCGTATATTTATATTTAGTATAATAGATAACGTTAACTATCATTTTTGCACTTTTAAACGCATGTGGAATTGCATGTAGCAATATTGGAATGCGAGTTTTTGTTTTTTACATGTACTTTTCACTCAATATCCACGGTACTAAGGCAATAATTAGAATATATATTTGCAGGCCCCCATACGTTCACTGAGAATGAAACTATAGCGAAATATGAAATCATGGATGGTGCACCTGTTCGAGGAGAGTCCATTCCTATAAGAGTATTCCTTGCTGGGTACGATCTAGCACCTACAATGCGTGACATTAATAAAAAGTTTAGTGTTAGATATTACCTAAATTTGGTTCTCATGGATGAAGAGGATCGTCGATATTTTAAACAGCAAGTAAGTCTTAGATTTTTTCTCTCACCTGCTTCTTCGCCGCAACCGTTTTAATTAATGACATCATTGTAGAGAAAAACTTGTTCAAAATTCTTGTTGCAATAAAAGGATATAATATTATACTTGCGATTGGTTGAGAGCACATTTGTAAAATATTCTGAAAACTTTCCTTTTACGTTTAACGGTCAATAAATAATCGTAAAATTAATAAAATCATGAGAAAAGTTAGATTAAGAAGGGAGGTTATATGTCATGTTAATTTTACAGTTACTAATTGTTGGAACAAAAGGAAAGTTTTGGGAATCGATCAGTTATCATCTTACGGACGTATCCTTTTATTTAAATGTATTTTGCAAGAATTTTGAGCATGCATTTCCTCGCTTCTGACATCATGAAACAAGAAGACTGCAGCGAAGGACCAGAAACCTTAATTATTATTATCATTGATCTTCCTCATTATATTCATTTCGTCCTCATTTCATTTTATCTCTATAGGAAATAACATTATGGAGAAAAGGCGAGAAAAGCAGGAAATCTCAGACGGCATCGCCACACATGCCGTCGCACTTAGTATCGGCCGAAACGGGATTTCCACAAGGCGTCGCTCAGAACGGCCCACCATCTGTACCACCCGGTGCTCATGGTCAACTGCCAACAAGTAACATTACGAATGTGGAGGATACCACAGCTCCGATTGAAGGCATGACACGAGAGGAAGGAGATGGCGAAGGTGAGAAAGAAGGCGGTCCAGAAAGTGATTAAATTTCGGCGTATAATTTCGTCACAGACGTCGGTTATAATTCAGATTAGTTATAAACATGGTTAAATATGGCTGGAATAAATAAAGGATATAATGCGAAAGAAATCATTTTGCAATGAAAAGGAAGAAGAAATGTTTCCTTTATTGCGTTGGGAGATTTTTTTAGTAAGAAAAATAGCGGGGTGTGTAAAGACTCGCTAGTAAAATTGTAAATATTTTGGATACACACACACTGACACATACAATACATACACAATTGAGAGAGCCAATGTGATTTGTAACTAGTTGATTACCGATCAAAATTATAATTAATACTACCAAAAAAAAAAAAAAACAAAGATTTAACCATAATGGAGAAAAGATATGGTTCCAAAATTGTTTAACAAATTGTGTGCTGGAAGTATGAGTATAATGTGAACCCTAGTTTAAATATTCCTGAATGGACGGCTTACTAATCAAATATTAATCAACGATATATTTTGCAAAACATCTAGATGTCACAGTGTTCTAAATGTTTTATACAGGCAATGCCCATTGAGACCCGCCCGTTGTATAATTCTGATAAAAATCGAAGTCTCATACAGCATCGTTATGTGTTACACAAAGAGATTTTATAAATAAAAAAAATGGATATGTATACTCACAAAGGCTGCCCCATATTAATCCGTTCAATCTACAAGTTTACAAATAGCGATTAACAGCACGAGAAGGCTGCACTTGTGTTAATCATACATATATCTTTAATAATAATTTATAATGTGAACACATATAAAAGATATCTTGAGCAAAGATCACATTTATTTTTAGAACGACTTTATAAAAAAAAATAAATGAAAAAATAAACGTCGATTATTGCATGATACAAGCTATAGATAATCTTTTCCTTTGAGTTTAGCTATTGTGACATAAGAAGACAATTTCATAAGATAGAAATTTTTATATGTAAGAGCGTGCGTTATGTAATAACAATCTTCCAAACATGAATTATATGATATCTGCTCAAGACAATATGCCTTTCTTGACACGAAAGTGGACTATAATAGATTAAATAATGGGGTAGCCACCTCGTGTATTTATAAATATATACATACATAATGTAGTTCACACGTATGTGCATATATATAAATACAATTCTTTATTTTGGCAATAACAATCACATGAATTATTCATGATGTTTGATAAATTGTAAGACACCTGACAACAAAAATTATTCGTCATGTAAAGACAGATAATATAGAATATATTTTTAAATGGACATTAGCATTGAGAACTGATTTTGAGCATGAGAATACTGTATGTTAATTTGGTTATTAAATATTTATGTACATCCATTAACACTTATTATAAAAGATTTTCTCATACACCACGCATTCACTTAAAAATACCCCTTTTTTTTTCTCTCCACGAGGATCTTACACTCTCGCCAATTGTATTACGATTTACAGACATTCTATACTATACACACACACATACACGTATATTGCAATATCATCGTAACAGTCATAAGCAGACATATTTTCGATCGTCGCAGTATGACGAAATGCTGTCGCGATGAAAGTGATGCTGCTGCTGAAAAAGAAAAACCTGTCGTTTTGTACTGTTCTATATCAAAGAGATTTGACTGTAAAAAGGGAATATGTTACTAAGAAAGTGCATAACATTAGTTGATATACATACATATAATGCGCTTGAAATCTGTTTTATGTAACAATTCAATACGTATTAGGCTCTCGTGATATACAATGAAGCAAATATGAAACAAGCCAATAAGAGACAACGGGATTCTTGGTGCGAAATAAATTATTTTTATACAGGAAGATAAATATGTTGGCGGTATAAACACACGCGCCAGCCAGTTCGTCAAATCTTTTCAAACGTACGCAGGAAATCTTCCTTCTACGTCAAACCGATCCTGTATCCCATTAGTAACATTTTTATTAACCACTAATTTCTCTAAATTAATAATTCATTCAAGTATGCCTTGATTTGATTTTCCAGAATATTGCGAAAAATAATGCCAGGAATCGAACCTGGAAACTCTCCACTTGCCGCGCGGGACATGTAGTAGAGGGAAAATTCCTCCGTATAACTGAAAAAGTCTGACGAATTGGTTGGCGCGTGTTTATATCATCAAATACATTTATCTTCCTATGTGAAAATAATTTCGTGTCAACAATCGTATCGACTCTTATTGACTGGTTTCATATTTGCTTGACTATTTCATGTAAATTTAAATTTTTCATAATCCACGCCTTTGTTATCTATTGATTCAAAGAATGGAATCAAGGAAGAAATAAGTTTCTATAGAAATATTGAAGATGGAAAGAAATGTATATGTACGTAAATAAGAGGAGGAAAATCTATTTGTGAATTATTTGACATGTCAAATATTGTATGTGTGTATATACACACACACACACACACACACACACATGCATATGTACAACATATTATCATGCGATATGCAATTAGTTGTATATTTCAATGCCTATATGAATATATATTATATACAGTGCGCACACACATGTGCGGTGCATACATGTGTATATTGAAATATTAATATTATTTCACGTACAGATTGTCCTATATTCTTATATTTTTATTTCTTGTTAGTAAATAGAGACAAAGTCTATCCAACCTGCTGCTCTCTTGTGTTATTGAAGAATAAAAATGCATATGTTCTATCGTTAAATCGTATTAGTTAAAACTAAAGGTCATTTGTCTTGCTATTGTAGTATATTGTAATGATAAATATTTTTTTTTATTTGCCAATATCGTGTTATATTAAAGGTTCAATGAGTCGCTCGGTGACTATCAAATTTGATCGCTGTTCCTTGTCTAAACGCTCTGCGTTACATGATGCTTGTTTCGTATTAGCTTGCATGCGAGCATTGAACTATATATAACATATTGGAAGGAGAACTGGCCCAGTGGGAGTCGTGGTCTGTACGTAAACCTGTGAGACGAAGGTTATGTTTAAATAGTTTTTGCTTTCTGCTTTACTAATATACCATATAGTCTGTATAGATGAGGCAAAGACAGGGTTACTACTTAGATATTGTCTCTCTTGGCATGAGGTTATCTGGCAGAAACAAAGACAGTGCTCAATCCAGTTTGTTATACAGTTCAAAGGTTACGGCAGTGCACTATGACATCGTGATGGTCGCAATGTTAGTAAAAAGGGAACATACTAGGGATGGGCAAAATAATCGATGTTCGCTCATTGAGGATATGTTGCACGAGTTCGCCGGATCTGCTGATTTGCTGTCGGATAGAGAATGCCTAGAGTCCCAAACATTTTCTCTAGAAGTAATATCATTCTTAGTGAACGAACTACGATGTTTTCTCACACATCGATGATTTTGCTCATCCTTAGAACATACCTTAACTAGTATGGTGACTCACATGCGAGTAGGTCGGTATGCATAGAACAAGTTCTATTTAAGGGCGAGCGTACGTACAATGCCGTAGTGCTTTAAGACCTATCAAAACATGGATTGAGATTGAATTGAATTTAGCGTTGTTCAATGTTAGATTTTCGACGCCTCAGATTTTGTCGGTAAGAATAGAGGACAACTGATCAATAGTGGGTAAGTGTGGATAACACAATAAGAAATAATCAATAGTAGGTAAGAGTGGGTAACATAGTAATAACTAATCAATAATAGGTAATTTAAGTTTCTGGGGGTCGGTAAATTTCCAGAGTCGATAAAATTCCGGGAGTCGGAAAGTTTCGGGGGGGGAGTAGTAAATTTTTTTAATCGTGCATCGCAGAAGCAGAGCCAGATTTAAGGATTCCAATATTTGGATAGATTCAAGTAAGCATGATACTTCATATTTACGCATTACATATGAACCATACTGCGTTCTCAAAGCAATAGATGTCAATGGGTTTGATTTGCATTACGAAGGTCTGAGTAACCTGTGTGTAATCTCAATAAATCTCAAGTGGCTTAGCCTCGAGAATTGCAAAAATATCAACGACTGGGGTTTAGATAAAATATCAGCCGAGTTTCCGGAATAATTTAACATCTCAGGCTGTGAGAAAGTCAGGCTGAAAGAAGATTGGA